GCTTTTTGAGCGAAGAAATCGGCTTTGAGGGCGGGTCAATGCCCGGCAAAGCGCCAGCAAAGTTATGGATAAATCCTTTGTTCAAGCCATCTCCAGCTCGATGAGGCAGTCAAGACTCTGTGGATGTCGCCAAATTCCTGTCATCTTCAAGCCCGCACCCTCGTACATTTTGCGATGCTCCTCCTCGGTCCGGTGACGCGCTCCAAGAACGGCCATGAGCTCCCAGTCAAGAGACGCTACCTTTGGTTAGAACAGAGACCGCATGGGATGAGTACCTGAACGACTTACTCTGCGCCCAATGCGCGCCCTGGCTCGGAACGACATAGTCATTGATAAGAACCTTGGAATAGCCTTTCTTCATTGCGGGGACAATGGCTTTCAAGATATCCGTGTTGACCTGATCATTCCAGTCTTGGATAATGGAATGCAGATAATATGCACGGGCGCCTTTGATCGGCTGCTCAGTCATGAAATCGTGACCCATCTTGTCGGCACCTGGACCGAGCTTCGCGAGCTGGACGATCTCGGGGCGATCTTGCAGAAGCAGTGGGCCAGGTAGCTTTCCCTCGAAGGCTACGCGCAAACCTTCAATGTCGTGGCCGGAGCCGCCGCCAACGTCGACTAGGAATGGCTCGTCTTTGTCGGCTCCGTGGACCAGGCGCTCTTGGACGGGGTAGTAGTCTTTTTCAAACCACCGGGGTCGACCTTTGCTCCAGGAATCCATCATGCTAGCAAAACGACGTCCCATTTCGGGGTGTTGCTCAAAATACTCAAAGTAATGGCTTCCCTTGCAGTTGTAGCAGTGCTGAAAGGGCGCATCAAGGCCAGAGTCGGGGCATTTCCAGGCGCGCTGCTCAAAGTACGACTTCATGCAGTTGTGCACGGGTTGCATGGTCTCAGCTATGTACTTGATCGAGTCCTGGTAGGAGTGCTGGGCAAAGGCAGTAGAGGTGGGCGTGTTGGCAAAGATGCCGGGCCCAGTCTCGCGAACGGTATGCATGGCCGCAAGATGGCGCAGCATGCGCCCGACTATGACAGGGTCAACATTGTTGTCGCACTTGGTTGCGATTTCATCGATGGACGCGCCCGTGTCAGGGATACTCTGCATGGCCTGGAACATGTTGACTTCTGTAGCCATCCACAAGACGTTGAGATGGGCAGGCTGGGCCCACAGCAGATCGAGCATGGTCTCAGAGGGGTGGCTGATCTCTGCAATGAGGCCTTTGCACGCATCCAGCAGCTCTTTGCGCGCGCCGGGGCTGCCATTGCGGAAGTCGTTGCTCAGAGTGGCGACATTGTCGAGGAGCGCCAGCGCAGCTGGTGATGGCGTCGGATCGGCGGCCATGGTAACGTCTAGTCAGACCAGTGCGGTGGGAATTTGATCTAGGAGAGGAGGGAACGCCTGTTCGATGGTGTGTAACGAGTGGTTGGCCTCGGGCCTCTTCCCCTCGCAACCCCTCAGCCCTCGCGCGGGCGGATGTTTGCCGAGAGGGACGGGCTGTGGGCTCTGATGCATGCAGGCAAGCGATAGCGACGGCGAGCTTGGAGGAAGGATGCATCAGGCGCAGGCGTCATGATATCCTGGGGCCACCGCCGTTAGGACGCTCTGGTTCCTCGATGCATCCTCGCACGTCTCCTCCCCGTCCTGCCGCACGCTCACCAGCCTCTCCACCCGCCGCCCGGCTAGCCCCCTGTGCGGCCCGTTTTTTGTCACCGAGATTGCCTGTTTGGCTCGTAGGCGATTACGAGGCAGCGCTGCAACCGTCCTCGATTAGCAGCCGTGTACCATGTCGACACGCCATGTCGAGGCGCATTCCCCCCCGCACGCCGCCGAAGCTGTGCGCGCTTCGTCGCAGTCGCCGGCCCACCCTGCTGCCGCCATAGACTCTGGCATCGATGTAGGCTCGTCATCCGAGTTTGACCAGGACAACAGCGCCGCCGGCCTCGCGCTCGTCGCTCACGACGACACGAGCGAGGCGTCGACGGATGAAGGGTAAATTGGCCGCGCTGACAGCATCCCGCGGCATCGCACCTCTTGTTAACGTCGTGTGCACAGCTATGCCGACTCTGACGCCTCATCGTTCCTCTCGTCGATCCTCTCCGAAGTGCGCCGTGGGGTGGAAATCGAAGGCCGTCTGTACCCCAGCTACGGTAAGCATGCCTATGGCATGCCCATGGACGAAAAGGAGCTCGATCGCAACGATCTCCAGCACCACAAGTACACCCTCTTGCTCCGCGACCGCCTCTTTGTCGCGCCCGTGCCAGAATCGACGTTTGAAGACGCAAACTGTCGCGTCCTCGACCTGGGCACTGGCACCGGCATCTGGGCCATCGACATGGCGGACAAGTACCCCAATGCAGAGATCCTGGGTGTAGACATTGCAGCCACACAGCCGTCCTTTGTTCCACCAAACTGCATCTTTGAGATTGACGACGTCGAAGAAGACTGGCCCTATCGACCTGCCCATTTCGACTTTATCCACGGCCGCGACCTCATGACAGCTATTCGTGACTGGCCCCGTGTGATTGCACAGGCCTATGCGCACCTCAAACCAGGCGGCTGGATACAGCTGGCCAGCACCATACCTGGACCGCTCACAGACGACAACACGATACCCGAGAACAGTGGTTACGTGGAAACAGCCCGAGTGTACTTTGAAATTGCGGAGAAGATGGGGGCGCCACTCGCAGCGCCACGCGACTGGAGTACGCAGATGAAACAAGTCGGCTTCACCAATGTCCAAGACGAGATATACAAATTGCCCATGGGCCCCTGGCCTCGATCAAAGCGGCTGCGAACTGTTGGTAAGCTGGAGCAGATTATGATTCTTGAAGGCGGGTTTGAGGCGTACATGCTGCGCGGATACACACAGGTATTGGGTGGCAAGGTAGAGGATTTGCAGATTATTCTTGCTCTGGCGAAAAGGGAGGTGAGGGATCCGTCGATTCATACTTATGTGCAGTTTCATGTTACATATGGCCAGAAGCCCCTGTAGGTGTAGTGATTGGATTTTCAACCATGACACGAATCAATAGTTTTGTGGCCACCAAAGCTGAACGACTATCCACACTATTTACAGCAGTAGACTACGCAGAGCAAAGTCTCCACGGACATGTATTGACAGGGAGGCCCTTGCATAACAGACCGGGGAAGACATACTTTAGGCGCTAGTTGCAAAACGGACTAGCGCATGTCCCTCTGTCTCGGGAGCTTTCCGCGCTGACAGCATCCGTCCATCCATGCATCCGTCCATCCATGGAGAGAGCCACGGCCACACAGGACATACACACATACACATCACCCAGATCCCATCTTACATAAGTACGATTCTCATAGTTACCACTGTGAAACAATCAGATTTGTAATCAGCCATATCCCATTGTCACCCTTGAGCCCTGCACCTATCGTCAGCCCAAAACCACCCCACTCCCGCCTCTACCAACCCTCACTTCTTATTTACTGACATTTAGCAAGAAAGAGCACCGCACCAAGCCCTCCACTCTATTCAAAACCAATCTCTTCTTTCTTTGCTTCAAGTCTGCTTCGACTCCGTTGCATCCGCACCGCCAAGTAGTGTATTCGCGCTCAATTGAGGCAGTTTCCAGGACCTATACCCGATTTGGCAGCGCATATTCAGAGCACCCTGTTGGAGACAGCCAGTCTGTCCGACAAAGAGACGCGTCTTTTGGGTTATCGATTGCGTGAGAATCACACATGATGTGGGGCACTTTGACGCTGAAGCTTTCGAGCTTTCTTCTTCTCTCTCTCCCCTCCGTCTATTCAGTTTGTGCCTCAGAACAGCAACCATTTGAATTCGGCGAAATGTCTACACCACAGTACACGCTTCCTCCGCTCCCCTATGCATACGATGTTAGTATTGCCATCATCGCCCGTCCTACTACCCCGCACCAGTCGTACTCATAGCTTCACAGGCATTGGAGCCGCACATTTCTGCTCAGATCATGGAGCTGCACCATAGCAAGCACCATCAGACGTACATCACCAATCTGAATGGTCTACTCAAGACCCAGGCAGAAGCTGTCTCGACCCTCGACATCACATCTCAGGTTTCGATCCAGCAAGGCATCAAGTTCAACGCTGGCGGCCACATCAACCATTCCCTCTTCTGGCAGAACCTTGCTCCAGCCAGTTCTAATGAGGCCAAGAGCTCCGCTGCACCCCAGCTCATCAAGCAGATCAAGGCCACTTGGGGCGATGAAGACAAGTTCAAGGAGGCCTTCAACACTGCTCTGCTGGGCATCCAGGGCAGTGGTTGGGGCTGGCTCGTCAAGACCGAAGTTGGCAAGGAGCAGCGACTCTCCATTGTGACGACCAAGGATCAGGATCCTGTTGTAGGCAAGGGCGAGACTCCCATCTTTGGTGTCGACATGGTATGTTGACATTGCGCTTGGACATGTTGGTGAATGTGTGACTGACATGACATAGTGGGAACATGCATACTATCTGCAGTACCAGAATGGTAAGGCAGCCTATGTGAAGAACATCTGGAACGTGATCAATTGGAAGACGGCCGAGGAACGGTACTTGGGATCGCGCGCCGACGCGTTCAGTGTGCTCAAAGCGTCGATCTGATTTTAACGCAACTATCGTGTATTGAGAAAATAAAGTGTTGAGGACATCACAGTGTCTCGATGTGTACTCACACGACCTGTTCTGGTTAAAAAGTGATTCCATAGCACCGTGCTGGTTGCGCTCAGTCCGCCTCGGTCCAATCGGGTACTCCCGAAACAAACTTGCTCAAAGAAACTGCCTCATTCACACTCACATGTTTGGCCCTTCTTGGCTAATAAAACAATCGACGCACAATCTCCAAAGCGACGTCATTTTATGAGTACCTAAAAGTCTCCATGATTTCCGCTTTTTTTACTTCCATTCTTACTATCGCATCTCTCCATTAACACACACACACTCTCTCTCTCTCAACCATCTCATCCACTCACCAAGTAAAAAACACTACTCGAAACACCCAACACCCAACATGTGCAACGGAGAATCCACACGCGTAACCCAGGGCGGCTCCATCGCCGTCTTACATCCAACCCCACCCTCTCCCCTCCGCCGCACACGCTCATCCTCTTCTTCCTTCTCCTCCACATCTAGCTCCTCAGACGACGAAACACAACAAGAAGAAATCCTGCTCTACTTCACCAACCCCCTCTCAAAAACATCCGGCACAAACGTTGAAATGGCTGGCTTCGGCCAACAATCTACACATGCAGCGTGGGTCGTAATACAGTACGTTTTGCCTTTCCACATTACACTGCTATGATTTGCTAACGCAAATGTAGTCGCGACGGCGATCTCTCATCATCTTCTTCGCCCCAAGCATCCAACGCATTCTGCTCCTTCCCAATCAAATCGCAAAACGGGCGGTGGCAACTCGAACGCAAACTCGAGCTGGGTGTTGGCGAAAGGGGCATTATCGGGAGGAGAGTGTCGGTGTTGAGTGGGGCGAGGGAAGTGCTTGCGCAGGGTGTGATTGGGTGGAACTGATGCGGTATGGGGACTACGAGTATCATTGGGTGTTTTTTTTGGATTGAATAGGTGAATGCATTAAGACGGCGTTTTCTGGCATTTTTTGGATGGGACATGGAAGAGTTTTGGGTAGATGGATTATTTGAATGAATTACTATTTTGTTAAGAGTACTATTTTGTGGTTGACAGATGAAATAAAGAAAACCCCGACTAAGTGGGCTGGCCTACCAAGATATTAGTGTCTTTGCGATATTATACTATAATTGAATTGCAAATAAAGACTAGACCGAATGCTTACACCAATTCTGCATCTACTATACTTGGATAAAGGAGAAGTATGACAAAACTAACGTGCATCCATCCGTAATGGAACAGCCACCGTAATGGAACAAAACATATGTACTTCAACTTCGGACTACGATAATGATTCACTAGCTTCTTAACCCTCATTGTTACTCGCTACAGTATACACATGTCCTATTTCCAAACGACCTCCGGCTAAACAACTATAAAAACACGCTTATGTAGATGCTACTCTGGCTCAATTAGCTTGGTGGCTTGGGAAGGGAGTTAAATAGGTAATCAGCTCTGGCGGAATGGAAAGCAGCGCAAGCCATTCTGATCCCTGAATCTTGTGGGGCTCTATATGGAATTTAGATCCAACATCGCGCATTGGAAACAGCATGGTTCTTGTCGCAGGATGTATCCAACCAGATAGCTCGATTGGACCTTCGGAAAACTGAATACAAAGGCTGTACGGTATTGTCTCGGCTGTGCTGACTCGAGCTATGAAAATGTCCTAATGGCATCGATTCTGATGGACTCGTACTCTCTCTTGTGCATCGCCTGTCATGTATGTTACCTTCTACATATGCGGTCTAGTGTTTCACACAGAAGTGAATTTACCTAGGTTGTCAAAGAGAGATATGAACGGGCTAGGCTCCAGCGATCTATCGTTCCAATCCAGGTGTTTTCGAACTTTGGTTGGGTTAATCCAATAATCGTAGCCCATCGAATAGTGGCCCTTTGCCACGAAGCCCACGTTTCCATCATGGTAAGTGAATGAGCTTCTATGTTGGACCCGGTATAGTGATGGTGGCACTGGCTCGATAGCATTCATACTCGCACGGAGTGTGTCTTCGCAAAAGGTCAGCAAGACTCGAGATAAGCCAGAACTGACAACAAGGCAGGAGCAGGGCACGCGGGGCAGATGCCAAGAGCTTAAGGACTACTTAATAAGCCGGAAGAGCTTCTCGGGTTGCATTTCAAGAAGCCAAAAGCGGTTTGAAATGAACACAAAATTATCGAAAATGACTGTTAGGCCTGCTGATGTTTGTAAATTGACAGTGGTAAGGGCGCAAGTACAGAAGTTGGCGAATGCGGCTTTGCCCATCTCATAGTGTTCTTCTCTTGAGTACAATCTATAAAAATTAATTTGTATAGTCAGATTTTATTATCCCTGAGTTTCTGAATGCTAGTGAGTGAGTAGCAACTTAGCTATAATTTTCAGCTGTATTTGCACTGCTCGGCAAGGCCGCTATTTTTCGGTTTCGTTAGTTGTAGTATAAGCGGGATGACACTGCATTTCGCTACTAGTCGCTGTACAGTAACTATATCCAAAAGCCTGTATATCGCTCGAGACGGTGGCCGAAAGAGAGATTTAGGATAGATATAAGAGTATTGATAGCTCCAAGTCTCCAGGTCACGTGCAAGCCAAGGCCTCGGCCAAAATGTCGATCAAAAGCGCATCTTGCCAGATGCGAACTCTTCACTTTGCACACGCATTTTTGCAGTTCCAAGTGTTCAGAAAGAAAATAATGGTTATTACACAGGTACAATAACGAGTTACATATCTGCGCGCCTCCTCTCGCCATGGCTGCCGAGTCTGCCGAAACGGCGCCTTCCCTACCTTATCACGAACCAGATATCATCACAATCCTCATCCTCACTTCCTTCCTGCTGTTACTGAACGTCATCAATTCCGTATTTGACAAATTTCTCTACTGTGGTCTCCTCGGTCAAATCGCAGTCGGCATTGCATGGGGCACTCCAGGCGCGAAGATACTTTCGTCGAATGTCGAAGATGCGGTGGTGCAGTTGGGATATCTAGGGTTGCTATTACTTGTGTTTGAAGGTATAACAGATTTTTTCCTTTGGTTTCTTGCTTTTGGCGCGTTTTCCAGACTTCCAGACGTCCTGTTGCACATGCTAAGTCATATGGATAGGTGGCCTACATACCTCGTTCCAATCGCTAAAAGCGAATCTGCTATTATCATCTGGTGTCGCGTTGACGGGAATCGCCTTGCCAGTGGGTTTGTCGTATACCCTCCAAGGCTTACTCGACGCGACGCCGTTGCAAGCTTTTGCTGCGGGAGCAGCATTGTGTTCAACCAGCCTTGGCACTACGTTCACGGTTCTAGCGTCGAGCGGTTTATCGTCGTCCAGATTGGGCGTTGTGCTGACGAGTGCGGCTATGATGGATGATGTTGTGGGACTCGTCATGGTGCAGGTGATTTCTAACTTGGGTGGAAGCAACTTTAGTTGGGTTGTTGTTGTGCGCCCGGTTCTTGTGTCAGTAGCATTTGCGCTGACTGTACCTGTTGCTTGCCTCTTCATTGCGAGACCGGTTACTCTACGGCTTAATAAGTACCGTGAAGCTCACCCAAACGAGGCCCTGGATAAGCTTTTGCGGAAGCCTCAGACAGCCTTTGTGCTGCATACTCTACTCTTGGTTGGCCTGATCGTTGGTGCGACGTATGCTGGGACTTCGAACCTATTCGCCGCGTACATCGCTGGAGCAAGCATCAGCTGGTGGGACTCTGAAGTGGCTCATCCTGTTGTCAAGACGACAGTACATGGGGCTGCAGCTGTTGGTGAACAGAGTACAGTACCTACCGATCCTTCTCCAGAGCCGTCGAACGGCTCACAAGGCTCTGATAATATCCAAAACTCTACGCAAAGTACATCTACCCTCAAAGCCAAAAAAGAGCACAAGACTCCATCGGAAACACAGCCTGTTGAAGCATCGAGTACATGTAATGGCGATGAAGACACATCTGGATCCACCATTTATCACCGATACTACTACCCCGCTGTCTCCAAGATCCTCCAGCCCTTTTTCTTCGCCTCCATCGGCTTCTCCATCCCAATCACCCGCATGTTCAGAGGCGCCATCGTGTGGCGCGGTTTCGTCTACACTATTTTGATGCTCCTTGGCAAGATCGCTTGCGGCTTCTGGCTCGTCCGGTTCTCTATCGCACCAGCTAAAGGTAATGTTAGCCGTGTATTATCCAAACTTAAACAGCTGTATGTTCCGCATTTCTGGTCCAGAAGCACGAGCGCAGCAACGCCTGGGCCGAACAGCGCAAGAGAACCGACCACAAGCACATCAACGCGCGCTTCACCGAACCCGCCAAAACCGTTTTCACTTCATCCTCCCCTCATCATCGCTCTTGCAATGTGCTCACGCGGTGAGATTGGGTTCCTCATATCCGGTGTTGCGGAATCGAAAGGCATCTTTTCCTCACCCAATGACGTCTCGACTGACTCGTCAAATATCTTTCTTGTGGTGACGTGGGCGATTGTTCTTTGTACGATTATCGGCCCCTTGGGTGTTGGGATGTTGGTTCGGAGGGTGAAGACGCTGGAGGAGCGCAAGAATCGAGTGCATCAGGGGAGTGGGAGGGATGTGCTTGGTGTTTGGGGTATGCAGTGAGAGACGAGGGTAGGGCGGTTCACTGTTAAGCAGTACATGTAAACATGGGGTTCTTTTTTGGATATATACATCACTTGTGTGTGGAAAAAGTTCGGAGTAGGATCTTCCTAAGCATGTGTACATGGCATTTTCTTGGTATGGTAACGCAACAGATTCCAAGGGCAATGATATGAATATCAACTGATTTTACCCAAAAATGCTCTCTGTCGTTAGATGAATATTCCATCCCCTTTGGAGTTTTCTGGGGATCTTCACAGTGAAAGGATACCCATACTTGATTATCAACGCGTGATCACTCCTGTCACGTGTGTTCACTTTCATAGCACTCACCATAGCACATTCACTCAATCCGAAATTGCCTTAGCAACAATTTCCCATGCGCCATATAAACATACTTCCTGCTCAACATTCTGTCAGCTTCTTTCCCGCCTCAGCTCAAGTCACTCGTTTCTGCAAGACCAACTGAGCAACACTCCTTCGGCAGTCACTACCTATCACAGTCTCGAACCCACACTCAAAATGAAAACACTCTCTTTACTCCTCCTCTGTATTTCCTTTGTTTTCCTCTCATCCGCCTCCCTCATCACCAACCCAACCAACCTAACCGCGCGCTCTCCCCCTCAAATCCCCACCAACGAGCGCCGCGGCATCGCCTATAACAACGCCAAACTACTGTCTCTCTTTGCCCAACCCGGCTCACACATCACATGGCGCTACAACTGGGACTCTTCAACCGCTTCATCCCCGACCACTTTCGACTTCACCCCCATGCTGCACTCTGTGCGCTCCGACCACACAAAAGTCTGGAAAACCAACGTCGAAGCCATAGTGGAGAAGAACTGGGAAAAGGGTCGAGCAACGTGGGTATTGGGCTTTAATGAGCCGGATAATTGCATGTATGTCTCCTTTCCCCCCTTTCCTCTTTCCCCAACGACGCCTTCCGATAGTAGGGAAAATGAGACTGACAAGTGCAATACACAGACCCAACACAGGTGGTTCCTGCATCGACATCGCAACCACAGTTGCAGCGTGGAAACAGTACCTGCAGCCACTTGCTGCGTCCAATCGTAATGTGTACCTTGGTTCTCCGGCTGTTACGAATGCGCGGGCAACTGATACTTCGGGGCTGGGCTGGTTAGCGCGGTTCCTACGCGAGTGCACTGGGTGTAGTGTTGATTTTGTGAATATTCACTGGTACTACGTCCTTCCCCCAACCCCTCCCTAACCTTCCCACGGCTAGTAACACCCCGTGTGCGCAGGTACGGCGTCGCCAACGTGCATTCCTTCAAAGCGCACATCGATGCAACGAGAAAGGTGGCGCAGGGCCGACCGATTTGGATTACGGAATTCAAGCCTGAAGGGACGGTGGAGCAGATTCGCCGGTTTCTCGAGGAGGTGATGCCTTGGATGGATGAGAGCCCGGATGTGCATCGGTATGCGTATTTCATGGCAACACCTGGGGAGGGGTTCTTGGTTGATGGAAATGGGGGAGCGTTGAGTGAGATAGGGAGGACATTTGCTTTCTTCCATAGGCACTGAATATGTAGTAGTGATGGAGATGGTGGATTAGATGGATGTGAGCTATAGTATGCGGGATACACGGAAGTGGTATAGGTCGGATGTTCGGGAGACTCATTATCGATTTATGGGTAGCCTACCACATTGTATCAAAAAAGTTCAAAAAAGTTCGAACCAAATGGAGAAATGTATTTGAGCAAGGCCATATGTCCAATGTTGCATGCCTTCCTACACCACGTGCACATTCATCCCCCCGGCGTCCAAGGCTGACCAATAGCTTTTCTAAATCCACCCTCGAACACATCAATTGTCTCATTCATACCCATCCCACTCGCAATGGCCAGCTGCAACATGATCCTCGCCTGAATCGGATGTACGAACCCGGACTTAGCGAAACTGGGTCTGAGCGCCGGACTCGATGGGCCATATGGACTTCTTGTCCCGACTACAATCTGCAAGCCCTTTTCCAACGCTTCCGATATTTGATCTTGACCACTCGGAATACCTCCGTTACCCGTCCCTGCAATTACTACGCCCTGAGCGCCATTCGCTTGTGCACCGAGTACAAGTTTGCCGTCGAATTCGCGAGCCGCATAAAGAATATCAACTTTGGGCAGACGGGGAAATGTTGCATATGACGATACAGTGTTGATATCAAAGTAGTGCTTGAACAGCGGTTGACTTGGTGAATTGTAAAAAACAGGCAAACTGTTTATGAACAAGCCCAAGTCGCCGCCGGCATTTGCACCAAAAGCATCGGGATTCGTAGAATGCAGCTTCGTAACCCAGTAGCCGGGGATGATGCGCGCGTTGAAAGCAACCATGACGCCTCGACCACGTGAGGCAGGGCTTGCAGCCAGCATGACGGCGTCGAAGAAGTTTGCGTCGCCTTCATAGGAGAGGTGTGTAAAAGGGCGCATGCTACCTGTGGCGACGATGGGCTTGCCGCAATTTACGAGGCTGTCCATTAGGAAAGCAGTTTCCTCGAGGGAATTGGTCCCATGGGTAAATACAGCGCCTAGGATGTCGCTGTCGGGAGAGCAGAGAGCATCGTGTGTGAAGCGTGTCATGTTCATGACAAGGGCGTCGTTGGTGCCGGTGGACCCATTGCCTTGAGTCGTCCAATTCGATACGGCGAGTTGTGTGTGATTAAGTAGGTACGGGTTCCGAGCGATGATGTCTTCTCCTGTTATGCCGATTTGTCCGTATTGAGTGTCATCTAGAGCGCCGTAGATGGATCCTCCTGATATAGTTCCTCCCGTGAACAGGATGCTGTTGTATGTTATTAGTGGGAGTCATAGTCTCAGAGGTGAGTGTACGCACAGAACTTTGGGTAAGGAACTATTTCCACCAAGCCATGTTAAGCCAAGGCGTTCGCTCGCTGTACTTGTCTGGCGCCGTGCAATGGGCTCGGCAGTTGCGGGCACAACATCGAGGATAGCACTGAGAGCAGCAGCAGCAGCAACCAGACCGAGGAGATGCATTGTTCACAATGACAAGACCTTCTCAACGGACCAGTATTGTTGGATTCGAAGTCAAACTTTATATGTTCCTATGCTTATTCCACAAACTCGGTCATATTCACCAGTTCGGCCGAATTTCCGCAATGATCCAATGCCACACTATCGGTGACGGGTAATCGTGTGTCGTAAGGATTGAGAACGACATTGTGCATACGGAGTATTGGCGCTATGGTGAATGGGGAAGGTGTATGTATCGTTGTGAGAGGACGCTGATAAAAGCCGTTATCGTGCTTGCGTTGGAGTGTTTGGAGGAGCGAGGCTACTACGCTGCAAGCCCCACGTATGCCAAGAGCGGGGACCATCACGGCTACCGAGTGGCTGGATGCTGCATCGTGTCAGTTGGGACAGTCTTTGTGTTAACGAATCAAGTTTTGGGGAAACATTGTAAAAATTGACCTCTTTTAGGTTGACATGACTAGGTCAAGTTGATAATGTATGTAGGCGTCTCGTCATGATGTATTCGCGCTCAAAACTTTCTCGGCGTCCATACACGGTGCCAAGACCCCCGCCCACGTGACTTGCCCATCTGACCAAAAATAAAAAAGCAAGCTCAAAAACATACGACAGCGGGGATTCGCTAGTGGTCACCCACCTAACTACTAATCCGCCGGTAAACTGCTTATATATGCCAGATCGGACGGGATGGCTAGCTCTCAGTTTCCAATGGTCGTATGTACCAGTAAGAACGGCATTAAAACATTAAATCCGTGGTTTTACGATTAGGGCCAGGGTTAGGGCTAGGGTTAGGTTTAGGGTTGGGGTAAAGAACTCTGAGAAGACTCACGTGATGCTATCAATACGCCATAGGCTGAACCGTAGTGCCGATTGAACACAACCCTCCGCTCACCGCGAAGCATTTCAAAAAGGCTGCGAATAGATTAACAATAAAAAATAACACATCCTTCCAGTATCACGATTACTTGAGGCGATAGATCTGGGGTTCGCTTCTCACAACTATATGATACATGTTCAGAAAGGGATTAATGTCTCTCGTAAGAATTGTTTCTGCGAGCACCAAATAACTTGGTGAAATTACATCTCGACAACATCATGCAATATTGTCCTTGCACTCGATATTGGACTGCAACCAGACACAGACATAGATAATTGATCTCTTCGTCGGAGGGTATATTGACCATATAATACACAACTCTTGTACATTGGCTACATCTTGCCTCCAGTAAGCTCCTCGGCAAGCTTCTTGACTCGCTCCTTGGCGAGACCAACACCTTCGCCGCCCTTGAGTTTCTGCAGCATATCGCCCACGCCTTCGGGCATGGGTCCGTGCCATGGGCTGAGCCCCTCGTTGCCCGCATGTCTTGGGCCCATGTTGCCTCTCATATCCCAGCCCATGGGCGACTCCTCTGTGCCAAAAGCCTTGTCAATGGCTTCGTCCAGTTGTTGTTCGTCTACAATAAATTCGCGCGCATTGGTGTATAGGTCGTGAAGACGCGATGCGCGCATGGCGTCCACTTTGGCTATTCGTCGTTGGTAGGCTCTGCTGCGGGCTTTGGAGATGTCTGTTCGCGGGGGCAGGTTGTCTGTGAGGAAGTCGCGGATGCCCTTGGAAACGGAGTTCTCGGTCAAGATGTCGACTTCGCGGCGGGGTGCCATGGCCAGCTCGCGCCTCTTCGCTCCAATGGCCTGGATCTTGGCCATGTACTGTGCCTCTGACGTGACTTTTCTCTCGTGCAGCTGCTTGACACCCTCCTTCAAGTTTTCTCTCCTCTTGTCCGCCAGCCGTTGCTTGTACAACCGGTATTCGGCATCTCTGCTATATGGACCTGGCACTTTTACTTCCTTGGGCTCTCGCGCCGTCTTTCCCAGGAAAACGTCTGATTCCTTGGGGTGCTTATTCCTCGTTTTGAATATGTCACGTGGAATGGGCAGGTGACCTTTTACCGTGGGTTTGGTCGGGTAGGTGGGCTGCAATGGCTTGGGGACTTCGACATAATTTGGAGATTGCGGGCCGAGGGCGAGTGATCGTGGTGTAGAGGAAAATGTGCGACTGCCCAGGCTCGCACCGGACCCATTGAGGACTACGGCGGGTGAAGGAGACGTCCAGGCAAAGCGGACGGGTATCCGCGGCGGCATTGCGATCGTGGTGAGGGAGCCAAAGCAATGCGGAGGTGCGGGCGTGGTGTTGGTCAGTCTGGCTGTCTTCGAAAATGTCGGTGCCAAGCCGGCTTAGCCCCACCCAGACTAGCTCCGCCTCTCAAAAAAAGTTGCCCATCCCCATGTTCGCGACCTTCCTTCACTCTTCGCCCTTCCACCTCTTGTCAATCCCCCCAAAGGAAGCAGAGCCAACATGGGAGTCCACAAGAAAGAGAAGAGCCGCCGCGAGCGCGAGGGCAAGGCGCACGATGGCATGGCCAATGTCAAGGTCAAGGGCACCAATTTTTATCGGTATGTATACATCCACACTGCGATGCGCCCCGTAGATGCTAACAGCTTACAGCGATGCGAAAAAAGTAAAAGTACTCAAGCGCCTTACAGATGGCAAGGCCGAGCGCAATGCCAAGGGAGACATCACAAAGGCCGCCGTCTACCAGAGCCGTGATGCGCCCGTCGCCCGCGTAGAGCCCAATCGCAAGTGGTTCAACAACACACGAGTGATATCTCAAGATGCCCTCGAGAGCTTCCGGTCCGCTGTTCAGGCCCAGGCCGCCGACCCCAGCACATATCTCATGAAGCGCAACAAGCTGCCTATGAGCCTGATCGAGACGCCCGGCCAAATTCCTGGTCTGAAGCAGCACGCGGCCAAGATTGCCGTCGACAGCCAGCCCTTTTCAGAGACATTTGGTCCCAAGGCCCAGCGGAAGCGACCCAAGCTTGACTTCAGCTCCATTGAGGATCTTGCCGGCCGAACCGACAGCATGCACGAAAACTACGTCGAGCGCCTTGAGCAGGCCAAGCTGCTGTCAGGTACCTCCGGCGAAGAAAAGGAAGGCGACAATGACAATCCCAATGGTGAGCTTACATCTGCTCGAGAGTTCATATTCATGAAGGGAACCTCGAAGCGCATTTGGAACGAACTCTACAAGGTAAGAGTCTTCACCCAACGTGGTCCTAGCTCCTGCTGACCCTTCTCTTCTCAGGTCATTGACTCCTCCGATGTCATCTTGCACGTCCTAGACGCCAGAGATCCAGACGGTACACGGTGTCGGTCCGTTGAGAAATACATTCGCACAGAAGCCCCTCACAAGCACCTGGTCTTCGTTCTTAACAAGGTCGACCTAGTACCCTCCAAAGTAGCTGTAAGTCTCTTCCCCACAACACCTCCCTTCCACCATCCACACCCTCCTTAAGTCAAGGACCTTTTCCTCTGCAATGATTATGGTTCTGTTACAAGTTGGGAAGAGCAAAAGTGGCTCGCCGGCCCAGGATCGTCTTGATTGCGGGTCGATTGGCAACCGTCTTGGTTGTCAATCAATAGAGTCACGCGTGATTTGTTTGAGTTGAGGATCGTCTCTGCACTAGCAGCTTCATGGCGGTACTCTTAGTAATATTTCACACATTCCATTGTCGATACACACAACTTGCTGTTTCATCAATGGACAAAGCTAACACCGCTTAGGCCGCATGGGTACGCCATCTGAGTCGTGAATTCCCAACACTTGGTATGTTTTATTGTTGCTATGCTATGTATTTGATTCATGAACTAACCACAAGCGCAGCTTTCCACGCCTCAATCAACAACAGCTTCGGCAAGGGATCTCTCATCGCTCTTCTCCGTCAGTTCAGCTCTCTTCACAGCGACCGTAAGCAAATTTCGGTCGGCATGGTTGGTTATCCAAACACTGGAAAATCATCCATCATCAATACTCTTCGAAAGAAGAAGGTGTGCGTTGTCGCGCCTATTGCTGGTGAGACCAAGGTGTGGCAATACATCACTTTGATGAAGCGCATCTACATGATCGACTGTCCGGGTATTGTCCCACCGAACCAAAACGACACAGACGAAGATCTTCTACTGCGTGGTAGTGTTCGTGTAGAGAACGTCGAGTACCCGGCGCAGTATATCGAGGCTGTCTTGAGGAGGGTTCAACCAAAACACCTCCAAAGGACTTACGACATAAAGGAGAAAGACTACGAGAATGATGCTGTACGGTTCTTGGAAGTATTGTGCCGAAAGAGTGGCCGTCTGCTAAAGGGAGGCGAGGCTGACATTGACGGTGCTGCCAAGATGGTTCTCAATGACTGGATAAGAGGAAAACTCCCCTGGTTTACTCCACCACCATTCAAGGAGGGCGAAGAGACTGGACCTGTCAATGAGAAGCGTGACGGCAAACTTGGCGAGATGAGCAAAAAGCGCAAGCGTGACGGCGAAAGCCAGGCTACCGGAAGTGTAGCAGCGACCATCGACGCAAGCAGTGCAGCTCAAGACAAGATCGACGATGATGACGACGATGAGTTTGGCAGCTTCAGCGAGGATGATGTGGAAGATGATGATGATGACGAAGAATCGGAAGATGAAGAGGGTGGTGCCGCAATCGAGGGTGCCGAGGACGACGCAAGCGAAGATGATGAAGCTGTTGAGCAAGAGCTCGCTGCCATATCAGAAGCGCTCACAAAAGCAAAGAAGCGTCAACGGAAAACATGATGACCATTAAAAGAAGAATAGTTTTGATTCAAATGATACCCCAATATTACGATGCATCATCACAATGCACAGACCAAGTTCATCGATTTCATCCTCGGCCCTCGGAAAGCGTGAGTTCACGCGCAGTCACGGGTGGTAGTCTTTCTATTGAGAAATGAAGTGTACTCATTCAAACGTAGTCTGCTGTTGAAAGCGCTGATATCACGAGACAATCAATGAAACAAGGTTTACGCTACGCACTCGGGCCGACTACAAACCGGTATCACGTCGATGAAGGAGTGTTTACTCCAAAACAAAGACCCTTCTTTGTTCTCAGCAAATATCCAGGTACCTCTCGATGATATCATACAAATCAGTATAAAATTACTCTTCGATCCGAAAGCCTCGTACACTCTACCGACATGGCAGCACTTGGTATCTCACAATGGCTTCATCTCACCGGACACTAGTGCTCCGTGTGAGCTTTCCTCATGACAAATCTATGTTTGCTGTCCCAAGCTGATTGGTTTTAGTAGTACCCTGCGTGCTGGCGTCTTTTTCTCACGTGCTGAACATGTTCAATATCATCTTTGTAGTCGCTTGAGTAGGGCAAACAGAAAGTGTCCCCATGTGGGGCACACAAGTGTCCGATACAACTACCGTAATACACGTAGTGTTCTGCTGTGGGGCAGGGTAATACGTAAGCCGCACCCTTCCGGTACATATATCAAATACACTATGACCCCTTCATCCGTTAAACCAACTGCAGTATGGATAAGTCCAGCTCTCTAGTCGAACTTGCACAAAAGATTCTTGAAGAGGCAGAGAAAGTGGAAGCTAGTGGCAATGGCGAGGGGTCCACTGAAGCTCTATTTGAAGCAACGCAGGAGTTGCAAACGTCTCTACTGACAGCACCGAAGCTACTTGAACAACACCAAATTCGCTGCCAATGTCTCGCTGGGTTGAAATGGCTGGCGAGATTTGAAATCTTCAATCATGTTCCCGCTGATCTCAGTCCTATTGCCTATAAGGACCTCGCGGCCAAAGCGAATGTGCCTGTCAGGCGGCTGCAGTCAGTCGTGCGGCTGGTCATGACGGACGGGATTTTTTTCGAACCCTCACCAACTCAAATTGCACACACCCAGCTATCAGCAACATTCGCAAGGGATAGCGCTCTTCTAGATTGGTCTTCCTTCATATTGACTTACCAAGCTCCTGTGGCATATCAATTTACCGAAGCAACAGCGAAATGGCCCAACTCAGTAGACAAAAACGAGACAGCGTTCAGCCTGGCCTTTAACACCGACTCAACTTTTTTTGAGTACTTGGAAGCCCATCCGGACATGACCAAGGCCTTCGCAGGTTACATGCGTGGGTTGCAACGAAGCGGAAGCGGCAATGTCCAGCACATTGTCGATGGCTTCGACTGGGCCAGCCTGGGCGAAGCAAATATAGTCGACGTTGGCGGATCGACTGCACACGCATCCATTGCACTAGCCTCCGCCTTCCCAAGCCTCCACTTCACTGTCCAGGATCTCCCCGAGGTAGTCGAAGAAGGCAAAGCCAAACTACCCCATCTCGCCAACGCCTCTATAGCCTCACGCATCAACTTCTCAGTCCACGACTTCCTTACACCCCAACAACTCCAACCCGACGGTCCCAAACCTGATATCTACTTCCTCCGCAGAATCTTACACAACTGGCCCGACCACAAGGCCAGCGAAATTCTCAACCACCTCGCCGTCGCCCTACGCGATAGTGGTAACCCCCGCGCCCGCATCCTTGTCATGGAATCGATTTTACCTCTCCCCGGCACCCTTCCTCGCTCCAAAGATGCCTATTTGCGCGTGCGCGATCTGACCATGAACCAGCTGTTTAATAGCAGGGAGCGCGAGTTAGAGGAGTGGAAAGACCTGTTTGCGAGTACGGAGCCGAAGTTGGAACTTAGGGCGTGGAAGGAGCCGACTGGGAGTAATATGGCGGTTATGGAGGTGGCGTTGGTTTGAGGAAAATGATTATTGGAGGGAGTGGTGGTGTTTTAGAGTAGGGCTGGTATGAGAGTAGAAATGTTGGTAGTTTGATGCTGAGACTTGTTGTGTGTGAACCAATTGTCGTGTATAGAACAAGAAGAAAAGAACTTTCTAATTGCTTGAGAATATAGAAGGACAAATTTTCATCCATTGTTCTGCGGAGATGGTCGGCCAGATCATCCGTCCATGCGAGTTCTATTCTTGCCATGCGAACAGGTTTTCTTCCTGTGAACAACGACTGAAGCTTCAATTTCCTAGAATACTTCCATAGTAGACGAGCAAAAACCTGTTGCAAGCAGTCTTTCAGTGAACCACGGTTTCAAAGCAAGGGTGATCGCCCCAAATATGCATTATTGGGCAATGGCCTTATATCTATCATAGAAAGAAGTCTCGCGGCCAGTCGTGTGGCGCTCTCCATTTTTTGCTGCGCTTTATCTGGCGTCAAACATCTATCAACCGCCAGTTGCAGAATCGCCCTTATCTCATCTTTGGTATTCGTGGTCTCGATATCTTTAACAATGGTTATGATGTTTTGGTGAGCTGCTGCCAAGAGTTGCTGATCGCTGCTTATCATCAGACTGCATTTCTTGGTGTAGTATGAAAAGTATGACTTCCAGTCAGGGTCATCCTATCGCGATTTGACTGTTAAGGCACTATTTTCTCAAATTTTGTGGGTGATATCCTTACGTGCAGGTCCTGGAATTTGATTCTTGAGAAGATCATTCAAAGGCATTGTGCATGCACAACCAAGTAAGCCTTTCTGGTGTGTCGAGGCGCTGCAAGATTCCTGTCACACGGTTCAAAGTTATATCACATAACTGTCTCACAAATACTACGGGACACTTCCGATACACTTGTTAATGATCCCGAAAGTGAAGATGGCGACTTAGAGATTCCGGGGTATGCAGATGGCGAATACGAAACGGGACCACACGTTGAGATGGCATCTCGGGGCAGTGTGAGCTCTGTACAGATGAGTTGAGTAAGCATCTTGAAACATTCCAAAGCCCTTCATTCTCCTCTCGTAATACAGATTTACATACTGCTTTGGCCGTTTCAAGAGACTCACATACCACAAACTTCTTCCAACCTAAGCGGGTAGGGGTGGGAGCGTTTTCCGAAATAATTGTTGAATCCCGAGAATATCGTTTACTCAACATCTTCGGAGAGACTGTAGAATTCTCGGTGGACCAGGATTGGGCCTTGATGATGATAACTAATCATAAATTCCGTGATGATTTGTTTGCTTTGCTTCAACCGTGGAGCATAACGCACATACCTGAAATTGCCCCCGCCATCATAACCACCAGGGTAATATGTTTTGCATCCACGTCTCACTGTCTCAGTAAACCTTTGGAGATCCCCGCCTACATGTGGTTACCCAAATCTACTAGATTCCAAAATATGTATTCGAGGACGGAAATAAAATCATCCAACCCAGCAATTGTGGTGCAAGAGTAAACGATACTGTCACGGGTCTAAAGTATAGTTATGTAGTTGCGTCTACTGACGACTCGACCGTTGCTTTCATAAAGCCCGCACACGAGGTCATGGACAGTATCACGACTAGAATTGGTCAATAGCATCGATCCTGGTCATATCTATCAATTTCCCTTACTGTACGAATGGCTGGATTCCTTTACGAAACAAAGACAGCATCATCATCCAAGAACGCCGCAGCTCAGACCATATCTCTCTGTGGCAGGAGCCAGTGGGTGGGCACTGCTATCGTATATTTTTTCCCTAGAAGATGCAGTGTTTCACAAAGCATCCTTGGGCGTTTCCTTATTGAACATAGTTGGCAGTTTCCTTGTGCTTAACGGCATGCGGTTCCTTCGTATCAATCTTCTGAGTCATCCAAGACGTGGAAATATCGCCCAAAGTGGCGTTTTGATCTCTGTTTTCATCGGAAATTGCACCATCGCAGCTATCAGAGCTTTCAAAGTGAACGTCATAACTCCCTGTATCTTATTCTTCTGCTGGTGGTGGAGATTTGTCTTGAGACTTCCTCGGGCCAGAGAATTTGCCCTGTTTATTCGCACCAAGATTACTCTATCACTCATGGACTTCTTCCAGCTGTTTTTGCCATTTTATGGAACACCTCGTTTCAGATTTTCAATCTATGCACAAAATTTGTTTTTGCTACTCGCGTTAGCTTTCGCTGTTATCAACTTTATATGTTCGGGATGGCCCTTCGTATTCTTCGAAGGAATGGCTTACACAACTCCTGCTTGGATTACTTGTATGATTATTTGTCAATATGTCCTTTTCTGTGACGGAGGGCTCGACAACTCACCTGACGAGGAGTCGGAATATACCTTGCAAATCAAGACATGAAAGGTGTCTTTCGGCAGCTTTTCTCATCTTTTCATCTTCTGTGAAAGTTACAATGATTAAGGGTTTTCACAGCTTCCTTCTCTAATAACAACAACAAACCTGATTATTTTGCTCTTGGTCCCTTAAAGCCCAGAAAACTTCCTTTATAATGTCTTTATAAGCTTTTATCAATTCCAAAGTAACTACAACTATCTGACTCCAGAGACTCAGTGAAGTCCGAAAATGAAAACGATCACGAAAATCATGTAACATATTCTCCGCCCAGTATGACATCACTATGAACCCACCATGCTTGGCTGATATTGAACGACGCCTTGTCCTCTCACGAACTCCTCACCCACGGACCAAGGAATTCAAGTAGAATGGACTTTGGGCTGAATCGTGGATGGAAAATCACTCGCGATATAGACAGCCGCACGCTCCCTGACCCTGCCGCGGAATTCTAGAAACCTAGTCTTTCACTCGTTGTAAAAACCGAGGCATTCTAGTATTTAGGCAGAATGAAAAAGTTGCACTAATAACCCACGTTGGAGACTCCACACAAGCGGCTTGTTAGTCCGACATAGTCGGGACATGGAGACCCGCGGAGCGGCAGATGAACGCTTTCCAATCTATTCCCGCGCCACACGTTGCTTGCGAAAGCTTGGTTCCTGCAGTTGAGCCTCAAAGCTTGTCTTTCCCGGGACTACAGATCTGAATACGGAGCATTTGATAGCAAGCTGGAAAGAACAATCTCATGAGGTGTAGGCTCGCCAATTTCTAACGATATGGCTGCCGTGGCACAGATGGATCAATTCATCCGTGTCCGCTTAGCAAACAACGGGGCCCCACTGAAGGCAACCCGCCATTATACCCACTCTCCACGCTCTGATCCAATGTTACGCGTCCTCTCCACTAGTTTCGGGTTGTCTCCATCTCGCACGAAACATGCATCTATTGCTGATTTCCGATAACTCCGACGCGAGCATCGCCCCCACAGCAAGAATCAAGCATTGGTGCGACTGAGGTTAACCGTTTTGTTTATCCGTCATGAACAATCGACGGCTTTCGAGTCAAGTATGCGGTGACGGCGAGGCAAATTCGGATTGCATATGTAGTATCGGTTCTCCAGGACAACTATATCACCGGGTTTCCACAGTTCAGGACTTGGGATGGACTACTGAAGGACTAATTGATCTTGCGCGCCCCTTTCTTGCAAGTCTAGAATATCTCTCTCGGTATTCGATACCAGCCTTTGATACGTCAGCCATTCAAAATCCCTCAACATGGCTCCTGTCGGTGGTGGTGGCGGTGATATCCAGGTAGCGGCTTTGGCACGTCGAAAGGCCCTCGCTGGCGCATCCGGACCCATGGCCCTGGTAAAGAACGCAAAAGTGTCCGGTATTGCATGCTTTGCTTGCTTGGGAGGCTTGCTATATGGATACAATCAGGGTGTCTTTTCTGGTGTTCTTACCATGAATGCTTTCAAGAGGCGTGAGCAGCTGAGGATACTTTTCAAGTTGCAATAGTCTATGCTAATGATTCCTAGATATGGGCGATTACATCAAAGATCCACAGACGCTGGAATGGAACTCTTCCAAACAAGGCTGGCTGGTTTCTATTCTCGAACTCGGAGCTTGGTTCGGAACCATGTACTCTGGTTTTCTTGCTGAGATCCTGTCGCAGAAATGGGCCATTCTGATCAACGTTGCCATATTCATCGTCGGTGTTATCGTACAATGCACAGCTATCACAGGAATCGGACACAGCGCTATCCTGGGTGGTCGCTTTGTTACGGGTATGGGCGTAGGCTCTTTGTCCATGATTGTGCCGATGTATAACGCGGAGATTGCTCCACCAGAGGTACGCGGTGCGCTTGTTGGACTCCAGCAATTGAGTATCACACTGGGAATTATGGTCTCGTTTCGGATCGACTATGGCACCAACTACATCGGCGGAACCGGAGCCGGACAAAAGGATTCTGCATGGCTCATCCCTCTTGCTTTGCAACTGGCTCCCGCTGTCCTTCTCGGTGTCGGTATGCTCTTCATGTCTTTCTCTCCACGTTGGCTCGTCCACCACAATCGCGAAGACGAGGCCCGCCGTGTGCTCGCTCAGCTGCGTGGCCTTTCCCAGGACGATGAGCTTATTGAGCTCGAGTACGCCGAGATCCGCGCTCAGAGTTTGTTTGAGAAGAAGTCGCTTGCAGAAAACTTCCCCCACCTCCAGGATATGAGTGCGGCGTCAATCTTCAAACTTCAGTTTGTGGCAATTGGAAGCCTATTTACAACAAAGGGCATGTTCAAGCGCGTCGTCATCTCAGTGCTTACCATGTTGTTCCAACAATGGACGGGAATTAATGCAATCTTGTACTATGCGCCGACCATCTTCGGTGATCTGGGGTTGTCATGTAATTCTGTTAGTTTACTGGCTACTGGCGTTGTGGGCATTGCCATGTTTGTTGCAACCAGTAAGTTGACGAGCCATATATAACTCAACCCCAATACATGATGCTAATAGATAAATAGTCCCAGCAGTTCTGTATGTCGACACGCTTGGCCGCAAACCAGTGCTTATCAGTGGAGCTATCGGTATGGCTGCTTGCCACTTCATCATCTCTGGCATTGTAGCCAGTTTTGAAAACGACTGGCCACACCATCAAGGTGCGGGCTGGGCTGCATGTGCCATGGTCTGGCTGTTTGTTGTCTTCTTTGGTTATTCGTGGGGTCCTTGCTCGTGGATTGTCATGGCAGAGATTTGGCCCCTGGCAAACCGCCCATACGGTATTGCTCTTGGCGCGTCTTCTAACTGGTGAGTGAAGTTGTCGTCCCATTAGCGGCCTTCATGGCTCGAGATACTTACGTTGTTGCAGGATGAACAACTTCATTGTCGGTCAAGTAACACCAGATATGCTTACGCACCTGCGTTATGGCACTTATATCTTCTTTGGTATCTTCACTGCTGTGGGCGCTGCTTTCATCTTCTTCTTTTTCCCGGAGACAAGGGGATTGTCGCTGGTAAGTTGGAAGCTCAAATAAGTCAACAAAATGCGATGCTAATGAATATTCTAGGAAGAGATGGATCATCTCTTTGGATCAGTCGGCACTGCGCAGCGCGAAAAGGAACGTTGGAATGAGGTCTATCGTGAGGTTGGGCTTGCAGAGCTCCTGGAGCGCTGTGGTCTGGTGGATCAGACTGCTGATTCGGGTGCATCGATAGAAAAGGAACTGCCGAGCTATAATGACAAACTTGAGAAGGATAAGCCGGCGTTTCATGAGTTGGCGTAGAATTCTGTGTAAGGATGGATGGGACCGTAGTAAAAAAACACTAAATGTGGTCGTGCAAAGCACTGCTCTAGTCATAACCAGAGCTGCATTTTGCATCCTTGAGGTCGTTGCTATTGCTTGGCTACAGTCCATATTTCATGCTCTATGCATGGAAGCTGCTGAACCCATCGTCATGGTAGACATCTCAGTGTCTACTTGCGCAAGCCTCGCGTAGTCTGTCTCTTGATTCTCTCATTAACCTTGAGAACAGGCGTACTCACTCTCTTCGCAAGTACAACAGGTTTCCTCGCCACAACAACCGCGCCATCCCTGCTTTTTCTTTCTTGCTCCTCCCTTTCGGCGACCGTCTGGTCCCGAATCCTCTCCGCAACCTCCTCCCATACGCCGGGAACTTTGCTCTTCATCGTATACAACCTACCCTCTTTGACATAAAACTTGAACCGAGGCTCGTTGATTACGTCCAGCACCCTCTTCATGATACCCTTCTCCCTTTGCCTCTGCGCCCATGCCTCCGTCTTGGGCAACTCAATATTTGCAAGGCGGAATCGGCGCTGTGGCAGGGCACGTAGTTCATGTAGGAAAGCGGTGGTGTGTTTGCGGAAGGGGAAGATGCGGAGAGTGACGAACTCGAGTTTGGTGTTTGCAGTTGCAAGGGGGTTCTTACGCAAGGTGCTGGCGAAGCGAATGAGGTCATGGCGGGAACGCCGAGCGTGTTCAGGGATTTGGAGGAAGATTTGGTGGACGAAGGGGGCGGTGAGGTAGGCGAGGGTTAGGGTGGGGATGGTGCCAAGGACGCCGACTGAGTGGGATTGTTAGATGTTGGTTGGGTATGGGCGGTGTAATGGAAAAGAAAGATGGAAGGTGAGGAGTTGGAATGCCAATCGAACATATGCCCTTTAAGGTGTCGCGGAGTTGCATGACTGGTAAGGATCGTAGTGAGGATGCAAAATAAGGAAACATATTTTGAGAAACTGAAGGCTACTGTAAAGATGAACTGAGAGAGAAATAGATGTGACCGGAAATCATTGGAGAAATCTTCGAAAAGATAGTCGCGGGATGAACACCAAACAAAGTCATATGACATTCCGAGGGGTGAATGGGAATGTATGAGATGAAAGCAAAAGGAAAAACACTCACCCAAGATGGCCTGCATCTTTCTCAATCGCGGGTCAGGTTGATTTTCATTGTTCCATAACGGGGGTACGCCGAAAACTAAAGTGGTACCGAACTGCAGCAAGGCCATTGCTTTCCAGAAGGAGATCCATGTGGTGCGTGCGTCGCCTGCATCATAGATGAGTAGTCTAGATGGATATCCTATTTTGGTTGTCAGTTCATGGCAAGAGGGATCTGAAGAAGGTGATTTCCACGCACTCCGATCTTTCTCCGCGGTTTTGGCTCCTTCTTTTGCTGATTTCCCAAAGAAGCGCAGATTTGGAGAAGTGGAAAATTTCCTTTGACAGCCCTGGCATACGAAGCTGAAGCTGTGTATCTTGATCACCGGCTGTCTACCTCTTGATAATGGTGCAGCGCTTCTGATAGCAGCTGCAAAGACGAATAGACGTGGCTGCATGTCGAGTGGGAGTGGGTGGGTGGTGAGTAGAAGATGGGTTTTACAATTGTATTTCAATCGCTGAATAATGTTCCCTGCAGTATGCAAATATCTGGCGCGTAATATTTCAATGGCTGCTGTACATGGTGTTGGTCGCGTGTCGGGTGCAATTGGCCAATGACGAAAACGCACGAGGGGGTGAATGTGTATCGAGTTTTGCAGATGTCGCGGTGTCACGTGGGTCGGCGACACGGAACAAGTTCTGCCGAGCGCCGAGAGGCGGCGGTGCGTGTGTCAGGGTCTGGGCGGGAGACAAGGAGAAGCCACGATTCCTCTATACTACTCGAATCGACTACACTACTCCACTACACACGTGCCAGCCGTCGCTATGTCTGCTACTAGTCATTTTGTTGTTTGAACCACCGTTATTCCTCTGTCCCGCCCGCTTCGGATTGATTGGTGCATGCTTCATGTGATAGGCCGCAATTATGTTGTTCGCCCGCGCGTTCCTGACGCTTCTTTCATGCCTTTCCCTCGGCTCCGCTTACCACGACCTCAGCGACGAGACACTCAAGCACCTGCCTGGGCCAGGCGATGATTTCGACATTAAAAAGGGCTCCTTGCTGGCGCCCATTCTGGTCCCTAGAGTATCAGGGACCGAGAGCAATGCTGCCGTGCGCAAACACTTTATAGACTTCTTTAAGTCACAGTTGCCCGAATGGCGGATAGAACTGCACAATTCCTCGTCGACGACTCCCGTCAGTAATGGAAAGGAAGTGCCTTTTGTCAACATCATTGCCACGCGTGACCCTCCAGGCAGCTTGGAGGGCGATGTGTCGAGGCTGGCGCTGGTCGCCCACTACGACAGCAAGTTCACGCCTCCGGGCTTCATCGGAGCCACCGACAGTGCCGCCCCATGCGCCATGATCTTGCATATCGTGCGCAGTATCGACGCGGCTTTGACCAAGAAGTGGGCCGAGGCAAAGGGTGATGACTTTGAAGTCGAGCACAAAGGCGTCCAAGTCTTGCTGCTGGACGGCGAGGAGGCTTTCAAATCCTGGACCGACACCGACAGTCTCTATGGTGCCAGGTGGGTAACGTTGTTTTTGATCAATACAACCAAGTACTAAGCTATGATGTGCAGGGCTCTTGCTGGCGATTGGGAGTCGACCTTCCATGCCGCCGCTTCGATCTACCGGACGCCCCTCGACTCCATCGAACTCTTCGTCCTCCTTGACCTGTTAGGTTCCAAGAACCCACAAGTACCCTCGTACTTCTCAACCACTCATTGGGCGTACCAAAACGTGGCAAAGATCGAAGACCGCTTGCGCAAACTCGGTCTGATGAAGTCATCTCCAAATCACAAGTCCAAAATGGCAAAGCGTGAGAACAAGAAGCCTCGCGAGGAGAAACTCTTCCTGCCCGAAGCATCCAAGCAAAGCACCAACTTCATGGGTGGGTTTGTGCAGGACGACCACGTCCCCTTCATGGCTCGTGGCGTTGAAATTCTACACATGATTCCCTCGCCATTTCCAACTGTGTGGCACACAATGGAGGATGACGCAGAACATCTAGATATGGATACGGTGGAAGATTGGACTAAACTGTTCATGGCTTTCACCGCTGAATGGATGGAGTTGGAGGGTTTCTTTGACTTTAAAAAGGAAAAGAGGGAAGAGACAGCGAAGTCGGAATTGTAAGCAGCTTCCTCCCAATCAAAACTATCCGTAAGTTAACCCGCCACAGTGAGATACCCTAAAGTCTTGCAAATACTTGCAAATGAATTGTTCCAAATATCAAAGTGACATTGCATTGAACGTTGTGTGCGGTCATGTTTCGCAGTCTTTGCATTGATTCTCCCTCCATACTAACAATGAGACAAAGGCTACAGTGACAACAAAGTGTTCAGATGCCACCACTCCCACCCAAGACCCGTCAAAGACACGGTTCTCGCACTGGGCATCAAAATACATGGCATCTCCATCGCGGCTCAAGTCCCACGCAACGTCTGGTGTCCTACACCTTGATCTGTGGATTTAACATGGGGTTATAAATTTTAAATTATAGTGACAAGCCATTCTTGTAGTGCCAATAAACAAATCAGCACAATGCCTAGAGGAAGAGGAAAACAAAGCCACGCCAGCACATACGGTCGATCCCTGGAGTCTAACGGACGCAGCAAGGCACCACAAGCCGCTGCGCATCGCCGGGGTGGTACACATAAGGTGCGCGATTCAGACAGGACGAATTCTATATATGATGCCTACAACTACAAAGAGCTGCTCGATGCAGCAAAAGAGCGCGGTGTATACCGCAAGGACATGAAGAAGGCAGAAATGGCGTGGGCGTTGAAGCGAAACGATGGAGACAAGAAACGCGCTGAACGCGAAAACCTAAATGCACTCCGCAAGAAGCAAAAGGAAGCGAAGAGGGCACAGGAACGTATCGTTGCAGAACAGAAGGCGTTCATCAAAGCTAAACTCCGAAGGAAGGTCGAGAAGATGCGGAAAAAAGAGCGAGCTGAAAGTGTCAGTGACGATACCCAGAGTGAAAATGAGATAGAAGCCCAGCAAAACCTTCCAGATGAGTATATGGGCGAGGCTATAGGATACGCACTCAGCGTCTCGTCCTGGGATAGCACTTCGACGGAATCAGTTCCCGACCCCACCAATCACCACCTCATACCATCCTGTAAACTACAACTCTTGGAATGGCCACACGAAATCATGCCACCTGTCATCCCGTCTTGTTATCTCTGTCACGTCCCCGCTCTCCTACCTACAAGAAAATCCTATACCCCACTCAAGATCATCACAATAACAAGCAAGCAGAAACTCTGCCTCCCAGGGCTCAAATACCCTCCAACCGTAGACCCGGACTTTGTCCCCCTTCTCCCTGACTCTGTGCGCGCCGCAGCCCACGACGGGCGTTTAGAAGGCATACTGCGCAACGCTGTTATTGAAACAGGTGAAGAGTGGGCTTCTCGAACCCTTGTGCAAGGAGATAATGCTACCCTGTATTTTCATCTTGGCAACGCTAGTAACCCAGCAAAAAGCCTTGCTGATGTATACGGCAAGTGGAGTATGGAAGAGAGAAGAGCGAGACGCGTAGATAGGACGTGTGAAGCGTATCGTGGAGCGAAGGAGGAGAGGAAGAAGAAGAGAAAGAGGATCAAGGGGAGGTTGATGGCTGAAGTGTATGACACTTGCAAGTGGAGGCCACGGGCTGTGGGTTACGTACCTGCGTATCTGGACTTTGGGCTTAGGGAAATACGTGAGGATGAGAAAGAGCTGAGAAACTTGCGGTATGTGAGGTTCAATAGTTGCGATGTGCCGCATTATTGTTTTTGGGTACGACATACGAAAGAAGGCGACGAGAAAGAAGCAGACGATGGTGTGGAGAGTGTGAGTTCTGATGGAGAGGAGGAAATAAGTTATCCTCGATGCTTTATTGCAACAAGGACAGTTGGCAACGAGCACAATTCCGGAGTCTATTTTGCAAGGAAACAACCATGCACGCCTTGCATCCATCCTGACGGCCATCTGGCTGATGAAAGCGAGCTTTCCGGAGATTGCGAAACTGAGATCTCACTGGATGAGGCTGACACTGAATTGAAGGGTGGAGCATTGTGTCGCAGGGCCAGTACCGCTGCACTCATTCTTAACCCGCAAGTGGAAAACCGCCAGTCAATCATGAAATGGCTAGAGCAAATTAGCCCCAGTTTCAACGAGCCGCCGCTGCTACTAAATCCACCGGAGCCTTTTGTTACCATCACGCCGCGTGCTGATGGGATAGAGGATCAGAAAGAAGCCCTTGCACGCGTACCAAAGCGCGAGATAGCAGACAAGTGCACGTTTCGTGGTTTGTCATGGACCACGATGACATCTCAGGTATGTGCAACGAAACTCCTCTAATCAGATGGGGAATTAACGTTTTTGCAGAAACAAGTCAAGCACATGGTTTCTCATAGTGCTCGTCCAAAGACACCACCGCGTATGCTGTTTGAGAACATATTTTCCGCTGGTTACGCGGATAGGTTGTTGGTCAAAAGGAAAGCCGGATTAGATGGTTTGGAGTTTTTGGAAGAATGTCGCAGGGTGAAGCGACGAAGGGTGGGGTTGTCAAAGGCTAGAATGGCTGGGTGATAGTTGTTATGATAAAACGACTGCCATATTTCTTTTGCAGTGCATGCTTTGCAATTCAGAGAATGTTAGGTAGTGACTCTCGTCGGGTATCATTCCTCAGCTCATGGAAATTGCTCAAATCATCATGCTGCGAAGTGCAGCATATCTCACGAAAGACTTCACCTCCATTCCCCTTGCTGGCTCTCGTTGAGTATGCATACCATCATTAATGCCACAGTGGGCCATGGCTGCTGTTGTATTATGACTATATCCTGTGTTCACACCAGCGCCACATTGTCGGCTGGATTACCAATCTCTTTAAGTTTTGCGATAAGACCATCTGTACCACTCAGATTCGTGCGTATAGAAGCCTGAGAAGTGAGGAAGCTATAGATAAAATCAACTGTTCTGCCTTTGAGCCCAGCCGTCGTTAAACACTTAGTTCAGGTTATGATCCAACTAACCAAGATCGATAAAACCAATGACCACCAGCTACCCCAGTTCTTATTCAACTCATCGATAGACAACTTTGCGCTAGAGGACTTCAAATTCAAGGAAGGCGCGCCTGAGTCCGAGAACCTACAGCAAAGAACATCGGCCAATTATCGTGATGAAACGGTCTAGATAGAGTGGAAAGAGGTTTCAACTAGCTCTTCTTTCCGTCCCGACCATATGCAAGTCCAGTGGAGGATAAGCCTGTTAACGAATCTCCTACACTCAGACAAGCCAGTCTGTATAGCCTCCATACCCTGAACTGGCTGCATAAGGCCTCGCGATCGGATAACGTTATATTCTTACTTCCCTCCCTTCTCCAAATCTCCAATCAAGATTCGCCTGTGGATCAGATCTTTCGAGTCTAGCAACATAGATCAATGAACCGAGAAACCTAGATTCAAACTTGCCAAGGATATCTATCGTCATCCCAACGCGCAGTCCAGCCAAACAGACGGCTATCATCGTAAATTGTATGACATTATACAGCCTCTGTATTATAATGATCGAGATCGTGCTCTGGCGACCCATCGAGGATGTTATTGGACCAGAGAGTCTTTCAAAGGGCCGACCGCCAATGCTTCGAACATGATGCAGCAGCTTCTATCGAGTCGTTCCAAAGTTGGGATTGTAAACTCCGAGTTTCCTTCGCAGCAGATTGTTGCTGCATGTGGTGATTCGTTATACAGAATCATTGAGCACTGTCTGAAGATTGATGTCGAATCTCAGCAGGGACTTGATACTTTCTTGGGACCAGAGCTAGTAATAGACCTGGATTTTGTAGAAAAGCTAAAGCAATGTAGTTAAGGGGGGAAATGCATGAAACGTGACGGGATCCCTTTCTGTAGTGTCTTTAACAGGCATGTGGCTTTAGGAGATGTACCTCAGGTTAAGTCTCATTTTCTAGGATTCGATAGTAGTATGGATATAAGTGTTGGGGGCGGAAAGCGGTCGAATCATTGCCAAGTCCTCCACTTCCTACTCCTGCGCCGCATACCCCGCTTGGCTACAAATGTAACTCCACTTCCGTCGCCCTTAGGTCCTCAGACTTCCTCAGAACTTTCAGCACCTTTCCATCATCTGTGCTATTGCAGCATCTATATGACGCTCGAATCTTCGCAAGGATTGACTCCTGCCTTTGAGAGCGATGTTTGCAGGTCAATCTGCTCAGCATCAGAATATTAGTCATGGTACTATACAGAATGGATCGCAGGGTGTCTATGGATCCGCGCGCGATGTATACTTCGGGTCCTGTACAAATCCTCAGGGCATGTTGAACGTGATCGCTCGATATCCTAGCTGATGCTGAGACTTGACAGAGATAATCGAACAGCGAGCGAAGTTATGCCGAGATGCGTTATTCGTTTCCGAGCCTGAAGTCGACCGTCTGGAACTCGTCACTAATAAAGGTACCAGGGTCACTGGGACCTGCGAGTGGATCAAGAACAATGGAGGGTATCGATCTTGGAACCAAGGGGAAACACCTCTGCTCTGGGTCACAGGAGGACCGGGAAAAGGCAAAACCATGCTCTCAATCTTTCTGACAGAGGATCTTGAACAAGAACTATCAAAATACAACGCAGGACAACTCGTCTACTATTTCTGCATTCACAAAAAGCGGGACAAGGGCACAGATCTATTAAGAAGCCTTTTGTATCAAATCATAGACAAACGGCCAGAGCTTGCTAAACACGCTTTCACATACCTCGAGATGCCTGAGCGAAGAGCTCATACTTTGTCATCCTTGCCATCCCTTTGGATCATCCTTCAAAATATCATTGCTGACGCGACACTGGGCGATCTGTTTTGCATAGTGGATGGGCTTGATGAGTGTGATGAGGACACGCGAAGATTTCTTATCCCGAGATTCGTCGACCAGCTTGAACCTCAATCCTCGCCAAATCAGCCTGAGAGTCTTTTTAGGATCATCATCGTAAGCCGGGACCTAGAGGGGCTAGAGGGTTGTGAAAAAATCGATCTTGACGAAGACCATGCTAGCAATGATGGTGGTGATATCGAACTCTTTGTTTGCGAAAAAGTGAAAGAGCTTTTCCAGAGGAAGAAATTAGACGTTGTTTTCCAGCCAACAGTACGGGAAGCCCTGATTTCGGGAGCTAATGGCACGTTTCTATGGGTAGGCTTTGTCATCAACGAGCTACTGAAGGTGCGTACATGGAGCCAGGTATGCAAGCAGTTGAAGTCACTACCGGGCGATTTGAGTAACATTTATGATCGTATGTTACTTGGAATTCCTTCCGAAAACCGAGAGACATCATCACTGATATTACAATGGGTCTGCCTTGCCCAACGCCCCCTGAAAGTTGCAGAGCTGGCTCAAGCAGTTGGTCTGAAACCAGCTCCCCAGATTATCTGTTCCAAAGGCATCGAACCCTTACCTAGATCTGTTCTTCTTAGGCAGACAACCATGGACGAGATATCCCTGTGTGGTCAAATGCTTAAAGTTGAGCATGAAGAGGTTACACTCGTCCATCAATCAGCAAGGGACTATCTATTGCGCTGTGATACAGATAGTAACGACATTTTGGAGTTTTTTCGGGTTCGACAGAAAGAAACACGTCGTATGATCGCCCGCATATGTTTCGACATTATTGCGCAAAATGCTGATCATCGCATTACAATGTGGGAGTTGTGCCTACGTGAATCAGAGGATTTACCACTCCTTGAATATGCGACTTCTCATTGGGAAAAGCATATCCAACACTGTCCTGACGTTGAAAACAAGCTATTCAGCGACTTGGACGATTTTTTCCAGCCCGATTCCACACTACGTGCCAAGTGGTGGGAATCATATCTTTTAACGCAGCCGATTCAGTGGACTCATACACCCCCTTTGCTACATATTGTAAGCTTTATCGGAGTACCGTCCTGGGTAGAAGCGATATTCCAAAATAACCCAGAACTCAAATCACCATATTTTCTCGATCAGAGGGATGAACGAGAAATGACGCCTTTGCATTGGGCTGTCCGAGGAGGTAGCAAGGAGGTAGTGCAGCTCCTACTTGTACATGGAGTCGATGTTGATGTAGAGGATGACCTTGGTTTCACGCCTTTGCAGCGATCATTCGAAAACGAAGATGAAGTAGTGGCACAGCAACTTCTTGATCAAGATGCAAGTTTCACAATACACCAGTTTCGCCCGAATCCCTTCTACCAAGCAGCTCGTTGGGGTAACAAAAGAATGTTGAATATGCTTCTGGAGGGGGGGCCAGACATTAACAAATTTGATTTGGACGGTATTGCAGCACTGCATCATGCAGTATTGAATGGAGAGTCGGCGTCTGTGCAGCTCCTACTCGAGTTAAACGCAAATTCGAATGCCATGTCCGATGATCTATGTAACAAGATCGCCCCGTTGCACCTAGTTCCAGAAACACATGGCGAGCGAATAATCAAATTACTTTTGGATAGAGGAGCGGATCTTGAGGCAAGGGACTATAGTGGGAGGACTCCGTTATATGTTTCCTGCCAAAGCGGTCTCTTCAAAAACGTACGGTTGCTTATCGAGATGGGAGCTAATATGTGGGTCAAGGATGATAGTGGCGGTACATTGCTCCATGCGGCGGTTGATTCAGGAAGTGAAGCAATGGTTCGACTTTTTCTGCATAAGGGACTGGACTTCCAAGCGAAAAACAATGCCCGGGGAACGCTCTTGCATCAACTCGCTTGGAGAATCGCTCCAGAAAATGGCATAGGGATCTTCAGGCTGTTGATATCCTTAGGAGTAGATATCAACGAAAAGAATCATGAAGGTTCAACAGCTCTGCATATAGGAGCGAAAGGGAACTACCCTGAGATAGTGCAGCCCTTAATCGAGAACGGAGCCAATCTGGAAGCGAGGAACATATCGGGCAAGACATCATTGCATTTTGCTGTTCTTGCGCGCAGCCAGAGCTTGATGATACGTGATCATACAAAAACCATCGGAGCATTGATCCAGGGCGGTGCTGATGTCAGCGCTCGAGACAATCAAGGGTATACACCGCTAGACTATGCAGATTCACTGTATAGGGAAGAATTGGAAACATGGATAAAGGACAGGGTGCTCAATTAATTGGTTTTGGTCGTATTGCCATAGCATATATCTCATGGAAAATAGTATAAACTACAAGACATAGCAAGCTGAAAATCAAACGATCGACGCCTAGAGGGTTGGGCTACCATACAAGTGAGACGCATGAGTTTTATCAAGACTAAGAGAAAAAAAAGAACTCCTGCAAATTCACGTACATGTGAAGAACGCTATAAAGCAACTGTCATCGTTGCACAACTGCTCCAAACACGAGTGTTGATTCTGTAAAACTCTACAATGCCATAAATCTATCATGAGAACTATATACAGTGAACGTAGATCACGCATTCACATATCTAGCAAGTGAAAACGTCCGGTCCAGGCGAGGTATAAGTCTTTGAGCCAGTGTACAAGTTGTACACGATACCCGCATCATTCTGCTTGTACGCTCCAGGAAACGAAACAGTCGAAGGAGTTTTGCTAGCAGAGCCACCAATAACATTGATTTGTGCGCATTCCTACATCCGTCGCATCAGTAAGATACTCGATAGAAAGAACCAAAGAAAGGGACTAGGAGCTCACCATGTAGAACTGGGCTCCCATGAGCTGGCTGGCAGAGTGGAGCGCAATAAGCTCACCGCGGAGCAAGTACTGGCCTGGTGCAATGCAAGCTGGAATAGTGATGGTTTGGTTGCCCTGGTTAGCAATGAGGCGATCAACACCCCATTTTGAGCCGTCGAAAGCATCCTGTGCAATCTTGAACCAGCCTCCGCCGATGCCAGAGTCGGTCTTTGCATCACTGACTTTCTTCATATAAGCCATGACGGGTCCCTTGTGTGAGGCGTCGATGACATCGTTGGGCCCAGAGGTGAGTGTGTGTCGCCATGTCAGGGTGGCTTTGGAGCCAGCTTGGACGGTGATGACGGTGTTGGTTTTGGCAGGGACATCGTTAGGGGGTCCGTTGCAAACTATTGAGTTCGAGGTTACGTCGCTTACGGGCTGTGTGTTTTCAAGGTTAGAGAAGGAAGATGGTGGACAGTCGGGTGTGTAGTGAGACGTACGCCATCGTATGTGGGGACGCGAACTCCGTCGCCAACGGCACCCCCGTTGAGGCTAAGGAAGATAGTGTGGGCGGTGGTTGAGGAGGCTACCGCAGCGAGGACGAGAGGTGTTGAGAGTCTCATATTGATGTTTTGCGCTGGTGTCTTTTTCGAATAGTAAATGGGTGCCGAATGTCAACTTGATGAGGACTTGGGCGCTTTTTAAACATGTTCTTCCAGCCTACTTACCCAGACTTCTGGCCCGGGATCCGGGGTTTACAACACCACTAAACATCGAACAACGTAATACTAGCATTCAGCCCGCGAGTTAGAATCTAAACAAGTGGAGCGTTTTACTATGTCCACCAACCGATTGCTGGGCTACCTGCTCGCCTCCCCCCTCAAGATCCTAGCGTGGCGGCTTCCCCCATTTTACATTCGGAACGCGTGCCGCCGACAACGTGTAGTGGCAGTAGTATAAATTAAGCAATATATAAGACATGCCGAGGGTTCATCGGAGGTTTACGCGACCCTGATTTGAGCCAATCGCATTGTTGGAAGTAGATTGCGAGACGACGTTGTGCCAAGATTATTGGGTATAAATGCCGGTTTATATGAGGGGTGTAGCTTGTGACCGACTTAGCTAGTACGCACTATATGCCGCAACATGTAAAATGCCAGGACACGATACATGGTAGTCTTCGCACACACGATCACGTAGGAACCATGTTTCAGAAGGAAATCGTAGATGCTTCGGCTGATCGACTATCCGCCGCGCCCTCAAACAAGCGTAATATCTTCGAGTTTTACGTCATCCACATTCATGATTTCTCCCTCCATGACACCGTGAACGTACGCTTCGCCCAGGAGTTCAAAATCATTCTGCGCTGAGTCGCTATTCTTCCGCCTCAGCACAAATGGCACGCAAGCTCTATCAAACACTGCGATCTCATCGCCGATCTGCGCGCCCCTCGGAACGAGCGTAAAGTAACCTTCCTTGGTGACGGCGAATCGGCGCATGCTCAATGCGGCCCGGAGCGCCGTTTGCAAATCTTCTAGAGTCCTGGCCGGCTTCCGGGTCTTGAGGTTCTCGAGTGTAAAGTGGCCCTTCTGCCGGCGTGTACTGATGGTCTGGCCAGGCAAAGAAGGCGTTTGGCCAGTCGTTGAATCAAGTATTAGACCGAAAGCCTCCTCATGGTCGATTGTCGGGGCCAAGGCCCCCGAGCCATCCCGTCCTGCAAGTAGAGTGTTAAGGAAAGCCTTGTAAACAGAAGTCCCAGATATGAGATACTTGTGCCATTGCTTCGATTTGAGTGCCAGCTCGACGTATGACGCCAGATCGCGATTTTGGCCTTTGGGGTCGACGATGTCAAGCACAGGATCCTCGCATACACACCCTGCACTAATGATTGTGTCAAAAACCTTTCCTGTTAGCGTGAGTGCATTCTTGTCCTCGCTCAATGCCATTCTGGGTGGTTCCTTTCCATTTACGGGTCTGCCTCCAGCGCAATACAGAGCCCAAGCTTTCGTCGAGTAACCCAACGCTTCAGTAGCTCGCGGAGTACTCCAGTCCGGAACCCAAGATGGTTGCAATGGCTGATCATGGTCGACGCAGCTTAGCAGCTCATATTTCAAATGGGGTAGCTGCGTCAAGCAGGCCTGGTGATAGACTTCTCTGACAGAGAGACTGGGAGAATAATCTGGGACGATGTTGGAGTCGGCTATTCCAAGGACACCGTACACTTTATCTTTGGGCTCCGTTGCCTGGGCATATCTTGTTGATACTAGAATGTTCAGCAGATATTCCTTCTGGATGAGCCCCATGCTTTGAAGACGATCTGCCTGGATGGACTCCACAACCACGGCTCCCTGCGGCGGCAAGAATTTTGGATTCTCTCGGAGGGGACGTTGAAGGTCTAAATCTGCATTGCTAACGAGCCAGCGGAGTATGCCGGTCTCTTCCAAGCAATAGCACCAAGCCGCCAAGTCATCCCAGCAGACTGATGCATGGCCGCACTTGATAAACAGATTCCTCGATAGCACCGCCTCCTGTATTGTCCACAACCTACTGAACCAGGGCCTCCGGAGAAGTTGTCGGATATCCCACCATACTTGGTCCGAGACGGGAGGAAAGTCTAGTCTGGCAAAGTCTGCTGGTGTTACTTGCGCATCTGTTCCCTGTAATCGAGCGTAGACAGTCTCGAGCAAGTCGAGGGCGCCGACGGGGTCTTCGCCATCATCGTCGCCAAGCCATATAAGCGTGTTAGTTGCATGCGAGTAGATCATGCGCATGAGTGGAATTTGTTGTCCTTTCTCTGCTATGTCTTGCTGGTTTATACAGATCTGGTCTGTCCACACGTATATACTCTTGTCTCTCAGGCGCAAGTAGCGCAGAGCACTAGCCAGGCTCTTCAGGATCTTAACAGAAAAATCTCCCAACCAAATCGTCTGGTCAAATACTGGCGCTCCCCATACGTAGCTGAGGGCAGTATACCATACCGGACTTTCTGTAGTCAGGGACACTGCATGATTAGTGTGCCTCGTATATGTGAATGTCCTTCTACTCGTGTTTGCGGGGTTGTCAAATGGATACACGGTATGCTCAACCCTTGATGGATGTGAAAAGTCGATGTTGACGGTATGCAGTTTACCGTGAAGAGGGTCTTCAAATTCCCCAGGGGACAGCTCCAGAACGCGTATCTCACCATCGGCAAGAGGTTGGTAAAGCGATGATGAAGGAGATCGAGTGTCGTTTTCACTTCTCTGCAAGCGCTTTTGACTGACAAAATCACGGATATGATCTAGGGCAAGCTCATCCAGATTACCAGTGGCATCACTTGGTCCTTCAGAAGTAGCGGGCTGGAAGACGGATGTCTTGGATAGTGCAGAGTAGAAGCAGTTGCAGTCGTCTGAGGCAGTGAGTAAGGCCGGCTGGTTGCGTTTTTATGGTACCCTCGCACCTTGCGGGTCTGTGGCGCATGGACACGTTGACGCATGCTCAATATGCTGATATGATTTCTGTAAGTTGGCCATTTGATCGGTGGCGTGAAAAGGTGTGCAAGGAGGGATGTTGTCATGTTTCAGCCATGCGGACATCATAAGCTAGTCCAGAAATGGAATGGCTGATACTGAGAACTGAAGAGAACATGTATACATAGCGACATGTCTAAAGCTGCATTCTTCCTGGTCATCCAAGACAATAAGTTGGGTTTTGGACGTGGGTATATGTTGGCTCAGGGATCTCTGATCAGTCTAAGCAGATGATGTACGCAGAACCTAGGTTGGCTTGTCTTCTTTAGGGATACTTCCCTGTGTCTGACTTTGTAACAGTTCCATGCTGCCAAAGGAATAATCCGTCAGGTCCCACGGTTTCCATGACAGGATTTGTTTTATCTGGAGGAGGAAGAGATTTCAAATCTCTGCGTCTCAATACAACAGAGAGCAGTGGGGAGAGGTATGGTCTGTGTAGGTTGCGATGCGCTATTTAGTGTAGAGCAGGACAGTTACTGGGCTAGTATGATTAGTTCTCGCTCTATTCCGGAGTGGCGCTTAAGGCCTACACAAATCGCATTGGTCCATATACTAATATATGCAAAAGATTCGAGTCCATTTGATTTCTTCAGTAGATCCAATACTCCCGCTACTGGAGATTTCCCCGGACCCTCAATAGAGGTGGATCAAAACCAATGTAAGAAACTCCGCATTTCCTCCAGTGCTAGCGCCATGGGGACCGATCTTGGTCTGGGGCGGGCAGCATCCCAAACAAAGTAGCCTGACTCGGTCTGGCTGCCGCTGCCCTCGATCAAGTGCGGCAGGTTGCAAAGAAAGGGGTCAGAGCCAGTAGTGTTCTTAACGTGTGGTGCTGTTCTTAGTCAATTGGTAGCATAAAGCAAATCTTCAATACGTAGTGTGACAGAACAAAAGGATACAAAGACTAAGAGTTGAACACCGGGGATGGTGATTCTGGTCCATCCCAGGAGTTTCCAAGAATGCAGATACGAGCATGTACAAGGCTAATGTGGTAAGGTGTGCTATTTGAGGCGTACTGTTAGCAGTGAATAACTGTTTGTGACGGGCAAGTGATCACGCTCACGCATCGACAGGTCCACGATTTCTGCGTCGCCTCGCGCCCGCCCCGAAGATCATCTATCCAAAAGAGTACGAACGAGGAGTTAGATATCCCCTTTTATAAGAGATGTGCAGCCTTGATCTAGATTTGTAGGACAGTTAAGCTGATTACAGTAATAACCAAGGTCTTGGTGTGACGCACGGTATGATGCGAGTCAGGTTGCCATCTTTAGCCTCGCAAGGCTGCGTGGAAATACGCTGGGACAATCACGTTGCAAAATCTAGATGAACAACTAGAAGCGGGCAGTGACTGCTGTACCGGACGCTGTGGAACCTCGTTCGGAACCAGCACTTGCTGCAACCCGCCCAACGCATACAGCGATTTGAGTGACCCGGGTGCTTGTTGTGGAGCAACTTGCATTTCGCTCTTAACAAACAACCGCGATGGATATCGTCTTTAAAACCAGAATTTCAACATGACCACCGTATTCACACGATATGTAATGCTAATATCGATATATAATGACCAGTCCAGCACGATGCTGCAAGTGATAAGTGAAGCACAATCGTAGTGTCGATGGTAGCGCTAGAAGTAGATATCAACATCTTAGAAACTCTTGTTGCTATCCTAAAAACACAAGGCCAGCGATGTGACATGTTCAACCGCAAATTTTCAACTCCAACTAGCCCTATGATTCTAGTTACTATGATCAACAGAAAAGTTACTGCTGGCATCCTGCTACTGGGGCTGTACAACTACAGTTAAACGGGGGATTGGGTGGTTGTATTGAACTCTGTTCTGTTTCATTATTATGATCAATGATTGATAAGTACAGAGACGAGGTAACTCCTGTGCCTAGACAATAATGCAAATCTGCTCGAATCATGCACTTCAGTTATCCAGAAATTCCCCAGATGAAGACTAATACAAAGTGAGGGCGACAGAACAGTAGTGTATGGCTTAGTCCAGGCCGGAAAAGTGCAGAATACCGTGTCCCTTTGCTTGCTGACCCTTGTTCTTCTTTCTCTTCTTTCGCTTTTGCTTGGGTTCGTCTTCGCTGCTCTCGTCCATGTCATCGCTGTCGTCACTCTCATCGCTATCGTGCTGGCGCTTTCCATTTTCGGTTTCCTCGCCATCGTCGTCTTCATCAACGTCCTGCCACGTCTGCTCGCCCCACACCTTGACAGTCTTGCCACCGCTGCTAATCATCCTGCCCGTGACATCGAAATCAAGGCCAATGACGCTTTCTTGCGATAGCTCGTCGTGCTTGAGCTCGGCGACAATCTTATTGGGGCCAATCTTGGCGAAGCGAATGTTGCCGTTGCCCATACCGACGGCGACAATCTTTCCACCTGGCCCAACACCATCAGGCACGACAGTGATGGCGTCAAGGCTCTCGCCGCCCCCCTTAGAGCGGTCGATGATGATGCGATCGTCTTGGTCATCCCATACACCACGTTCCCAAAGGGTGAGGACACCGTTGCTGGCGCCAACCACAACCTTCTCGCCGACGTTGGAGCCCTTTGTTGAGAGGCCAGTGACAATGGTAGAGCTTAGCAGCTCCTCCTCTTGGTCCTCGCTACGGACCATGACCCCCCTACGGATGTCCGTGACGGCCAGTGTGCTGCCACCTGTCGTGACCCATTGCTTGCTGAAGCCGCTTGTACTCGCTTGTGTAGGTGGTAGTGGGGTGAGCGAGGAGACGTAGTCGTCGTGTGGGTGGTGCGTGTTCTCTGGTTTAAGAGAGACTTTTTCTCCGCCTTTGAGGTTCCTAATGTCGTATATATGCAGCGCTCCAGAGTCGGTGGTGAGGATGAGGGATTGCGGTGACAGGGCGTGGACCAGTGTGGGCGCGTCGATGCCGCTATTGGAGCTATTCCGTCTCAGTGATGAATGATCCGCATATTCTCGCCTCTTGCTGCGACTTACGGGTCCAGTGGAATGGTGATCTTCGCGGTCACCTGGCCGGTCATGGAATCCGCAACCTTGACTATGCCGTCGGTGCCTGCAGAGATCAACGACGCACCGTCGACGCTGTATGCGAGGGTCCGGCAACTGCCCTTGTGTCGCCTTGTGCGCCAGATGCGGTCGATAGTTCCAAAGCCGCTTTCGGATGCTAATGTCGTGTCATTGTCGTCGTCGTTGTCGTCATCGCTTGCGCCGGCAGGGAGGCGGTAGGTGTGTACATCGCCATTGGCCAGGCCGACTGCTACGAGTGGCTGCTGGGGATGGACCGTCTGTACAAAAATATCGTGCTCCACAGGGAGAGCACACAGGTTCTCGAACATGGCTATGATGTTGTGTAAGGCTGATAAACGGAGAGATGGTCCAATGGGTCGAGTGGATTTCCGTTTTGCGACAGCTTCAACATTTTTAGTGGAGCCGCGGCCGTCGAGCGCATGGCAGCGGCAGCCGCATGGCTTGGCAGGTACCTGGCACGTGACCTGGATTACGTGCCTGAGAACTACAGTACACGATGTACATACACTTCTACGACCTTGACTTATTTTATGAATGCCCACTGTATGTCTACCTTGTTGATCAATGCGCCCGTTCTTTGGGTTCATGTACTAGCAAGCCATGTTTTATAGACTCCGTATCACCTTGGCGGACTGCAATCTTTTAAGCAGCCTTCATGGCACGCTTGCCTCCATCTCCATCCCCCCTATGCCCATTCTGGCCATCTCTATCTTTTTAAAATTCCAAACGACCACTCAATCATCCCAAATAAGTTGAATCGCTCCAAGAACCAGGTCTTTGGAGCACCAGAATGCATTGCGCTACACGGCAAACACCCTGATAAAGCATTCACCTCCAATCATACACTCTCCAGAGAAGACGCTTCTTTCGTGTCCGAGATTTCCGTCCCATGGCTCCGTTGTCCCATTGCCCCATTGCCCCATTGCCTCCGACGTGTCTACGCCATGTCGATAACAGGAAGGTCGAAGAACTCCCTCGACCCGACAGGCTCTACAAGGTTAAGCAGCCGAATTCACGTGGGCCACTGATTGGCTGTTACGACCATCCCCGGCTCTTCGCCATCCTCACCGTCGTACAGACGGCACCGTTGCATCCGACATCATGCAGTCTTTTAAAAGTCGAATAACGGCCTCGCAATCACAATGTCAGGCCTTGAGCTCACAGCAACTCGGACACAATTTCAAAGTCGTTGACAATGCTTGCCTCGTCGTTCTTGTACGGCCTCTTGGCGGCAGCTTCTGCCGTCAATGCCCACCGCCACTCCAAGGACATCGACTACACGGTCATTACTGGCATCTTTCAGCAGGATGACAACTCTACCAACCCTGCCACGTTCAACTTCACCGCCAGCAACTTCGGCCTCATCAACCGCACCTATCCAACTGACGCGACCTGCCCAGACGGCAAGAAATCGACCCAATGGCAGCGTCTTGCTCACTACATCTCTACCCTGAACAAGCAGTCTGCGCGCAATGAGCGCTACAGCCTTGTCTTCATGGGCCGCCACGGCGAAGGCTTTCACAATGCTGCTGAATCCTTCTATGGTACTCCAGCATGGAACTGCTACTGGTCTGAGCTCGACGGCAACAGCACCGTCACATGGGCCGATGCAAAGCTCACCGAAGTCGGCATACAGCAAGCAAAGCTCGTAAATGCATTTTGGCAGCACTTGCTCAAGGACGAGAAGATTTCCCCGCCAGAATCCTTCTATACCAGCCCTTTGTATCGCTGCCTCGACACTGCAAAACTTACCTTTGACGGAGTCAAGCTGCCCAAAAAGACGCCTTTCGTTCCGGTTATCAAGGAGTTTCTTCGCGAAGGCATCAGTGCGCATACTTGCGACCGTCGCCGTACCAAGTCGTCCATCCGCAAAAACTTCCCTTCTTTCAAGTTTGAAAAGGGATTCGCAGAGGAAGACCCCTACTGGACCGAGCTATTCGCTGAGCCCCGAGCGAACCAGGACGCACGCTCCAAAGCCGTGCTTGATGACATCTTTTCCAGCGATGACAGCACGTATATTTCCATTACTTCGCATTCGGGCGGCATTTCCAGTCTGCTACGCGGTAAGCCCTATCTTCAAACCAACATTCATGATACGTTTTCGTACTGACAATACCTTAGTCCTGGGCCACCGCGAATTTAGACTCAGCACTGGAGCCGCCATTCCCGTCTTGCTCAAGGTCACTACTCTAAACACGCGTCCTCCCCCAACGACAACATTGCCTTATGATCCCCAAAAGACATGCGCCGTACCCCCTGCTATTCGCGACCCGAGCTGCAATGACTGTTCTTGCTGCTCATAAGGTTTCCTCTAGGCTTGATTACGAGATAATTCAAATACAATAATTACCATGTCAGCGCTGACACTTGCCCCCTCTGACTCAATGCATCGTTCTCGAACATGGTCATTTCATATTTCTACATCGCGTATCTACGAAGTTGCAATCGTGCTCGTACCTCGGCACACATTCTGTGTCGAGTAAACTTCGACAAGCATAATCCCAGCATATCCGTTACCGACGTCATCTGCGACATGGGACTAGCCCTGCTATCCCAGATTATCTAGCCCGCATCATGCAAAGCACTATGTAAGGAGGCTCCCCGGTGATTCGTACATCTACTTCGGATCTCTCCCCGGTGGGTAAAATATCCACATTTTCCGACCCGAGATTCGAGAGCCTCGAATTTTGGAATAAAAGTATGTAATATCAAAACACTATCTACGCTGTGCCGTCCGTCAATGATACCTCGACATTGCGTAAATTGAAGCAAAAAGATGCCGTGAACTGGGGACGCTGCATATCAAGACAAAGGATTATATTATTCGGCCAAGCAGCTCCGGAAATGGCGACACGAGAATTTGACGCGCTTAATCGTACCAGCCCCTCATCGTCGTTCCTCTTTGACAGCGCATGCAAGTTGCCGCGATAAATCATAACATATGGAATTGCCCCCTAGCAGGGCCAGAAGACATGTCGCGCGCGCCGTCGCCGCTAGGAGTTTAGCACCCGACGTTGTGCTCCTCCGCCCATGTCCGGTTGAGGTTCAGCCCACAAACTGCCTGGGTGGCTGCGCTAGTAAGCACGTAGTCACTCGGCTGGCCCATTCATGTCTTGACTCTACTTACACGCTAAATGAACATCATCCGCTAAGGGGGATATACCAAGTACCAACACAAAACACACGACCTAAAGACAAGGTTTGTTGGTGATACCGTGTGCCCATGTCGATGCTCATGGCAGCCGTCTGAATCGTGAACCTGTCAGCTCGCCGGTCTGATTGGTAGCCGGGATCCGCTCCTTTGGGTGCGCAGATAATTTGGAATGCGTGTGGGGAACTTGGGAGCGGTGCTGTGCCAAACGTGAATCAAGGTACCTGATTACTGTCCTGTCGTAGGTCAATCAGCTACCTGTCGTTTATGCACAGTGTCAAGGTAATCGAGCATACGCTCGACGCGGAGGAATTGGTTGCCAAAGTTTCCCAGTACTAAGCCTACTAGGATCAACGTCATTGCAACCCTTGCAACTGGCTTTCGCAAGAATGTCGCTCCACACCCCGGGTCTCCAAGATCTACGTGTCGGAGCTAGACTGATCGGTCCCAGATTACCGGTTGGCTCTCAGCTGATTGTTGCATTGCACAAAGTATGACCCTTCGAAGTTAGATCTATTTCGAAGACTTGGTGATTGCGAACCATACAATTCGTCCCCCATGAGATTTGACGCCTGTCACGCGCAAAGGAACTGCCCCAAGATTGTCTGCTTGCTTTGGATAGTTTGTGATTATTAGGGTGTCTAATTATGTATGTCGCGTGGGTATATGTAGGAAGAATGATGCAAAGGCCGTTGATCGTGATGATGATAATGTACAGAATTCGGCACCCAATGCACCCCGCATAGCGTTTCTTCTTCTTCTTCGTTTCATTCTCCATCTTTTTTTTTCGGACCTGCCGATCGTTGCGCAGATGACAATATGAACCGGCTAGCGAGTCGAACTCACTGGTAATCATGTCGTGGTTGTACATTCTGCCAGCCGCATCATGATTTCAGTCCGAACACCTTCGTCCACGTTACGGGTACGCATTTTCCACAGATGCAGTGACGCTGTAATGCAGCAGTAGGCGTTTTTCGGTTTCGTAGCGGTTGGATGACTGTGATGGGTAGGGTGTACAATGGCCGTCGGGTATCGGTGTTGGGATCCGACTCGAAAGAAACCTGACAAAAGATGGCAACCGTGATGGAAGGGAGTGCTAAGTTTGATGGCAAAAGCGACCAGAGCGATGTAGCTTGTGCCGTCGAATCTTGGACTATCTGTAGGGCGCAGATATGACGGATCCCCTTTCCTCGTCCGTAATGTAGAATGACTTCGATACCATGATACCATTAGAGAAGATATCCTCTGTGCTGCTTCGTGAGCTCTTGTTCCTCAGGCTTTGCTCGCTGTCGTTATCCGAATTGTCAACACGAGTGCTCTTCTTGGAGTTGGGCGGAGCATTTGGGAACCACTGGGGCGATTTTGACTTGCTTCCAATTTGCATAATTTCATCCTCCGAGGTGCGGGTTTGAACAGTGGCGGAGAGCTTGTACATGTCCGGTCGGAGCTTATCAGCCTTTGACGTTGTACCAGAGGCGGCGGCGTTTGCTGGAAGCGGAGCTGACATGGCGTAGGCTGAAGGGCGATAGGCGGATGGGTTGCGGGTTGATAGGCCGAGCTTGGACATGGCAATGAAGAAGAGTGGGCGGAGTGTTGCGAGACTGCCGGCAGTGATGGCGAGACCTTGTTCGACAGAAGACCAGATGGCAATGTCAAGCGTGGACCCTGTAAGGGTTAGTACATGATGGCAGCATGATACATCGGGTGCTTACAAAGGAAGTCGGGTGAGTTGAAGAAGTGGACAAAGGGCAGGCGTGCGATGACGGCAGCGCTTGCGATGCAGCCCATAGTGATCAAGGGAATCAGTGCAATCTTTGCCCTCCTCTTCAACTGCAGATGCCAGACCAGGAATCCGGGAATGATAGCAAAAGTAAAGTCGGAAATGATGGAGAAGATGCTATAGACGTAGCCGAGGGCAGTGATGACAGTATTGTCGATGCACTTTCCTTGTTGCGAAGTGCGATCCCACATGTACGAAATGGGGTAGCATTGGAAGAGGCAGACAAAGAAAAAGGTACTTCCGGCAACAACCGAGACGAGCATGGCAGCGTAGATGATCCTGACATGATTAGTCGAGTGCTCGGCCAGGCGGCTCTTGTGGCGACTCACCAAGTGTGGAGTTTCCGGATGCTGATGCGCAGTAAAAGGAAGCCGATGGACATTTTGGAGCAGATCATGGAGGTGGAGTAGAACAGATAACAGAAGTACCAGGCGTGTTTTGCATTCTGGACACCCTCGATGGGGAGATCGTGGTGGTGGCGGCCTGTTCCATGGCTAATGCCTATGCAAGAAGATGTTGTATAGGCTACGAAGAAGAGCTGAGTGCCATGTGAGTACCAGGATTGGATGTATCTACTCGTTCGGCTGGTTTGTTACTTACGGTTGCAACAACCATGAGCCAGTCATCGAGACCAAAGGCCTTGACCATTCGGACGCGGACAAAGCACCTCAGCAGGCAGGCCAAGACGGCCGTGGTAACAAAGGCAATGTTGACTGCGAGCAGCTCGGGACCTCTATTGGGGACGGCCATGGTAATTGCGATTTCGAGGCAGCGGATGCTCTGGCAGCAGAGAGCCCCAAAACCGGGAGGGCCATGGAGCTTGAGGGAATATGCATCTTTAACGTACTTGGATGGATTTGTTTTTGCCGAGGTGGAGCTATACTACGTAGGAAGCAATGCATAACGCAAGCCGCCACGAGAGAGGTGGGTCACTGCACGCGGGCTGGCAATACTGGATCCAGGGTCTGGTCCGTTTCAGGGCGAAGCCATTACCAAGCTGGGTGTTTACCCGTGGAGCTAGGACAGTGACCATTGATTTGCGCATGTCGAGTAATCATGCGTGCCAGGCCGTGCCAGGACAGGTACGGGGACAAGGCTATAGCGACAATGCTCTACATTCGACATACTGTGTTGGTAAAGGGGACGGACTATCGCACCGTGCCTGGGTGCTAAGTCAGTACACTACAGTGGTAGTAATAAGATGATGGGAGGCCTGGACATGGTTGTGATTCTCACCAGCTCTGTGTGTGTGGCGCATGTCAGTGGGTGGGCTCATTGTCGACCCAATCGGCGAATTGCTGAGACAATGCCTCCCGTTGTTGTCGTTGTCGAGGTCCAAGGCGACGCTTGAGCAGCAGCTCCGCTCGCACTGTTGTCTGTAGTCGTTGGCTGTGTGGCCAGTGGATGGACGAAGAGCGGCTCACACAAGGTTTCGCGGGAATGTGGGGCACGTGGACGCTAACTTTTTTGGGCCTAGCGCACGAAAATCCTGTCCTCTCCTGCATCGCCTGCATCGCCCGTATCTGCCGCGTCTTGGCCACAGCCAACCGGCATTCACCTTGCCCAACCCACTGCCAACCCATACAACCCCCGGAGCCATATCCCAAAGCTGCTTTCTCGATGCAGTCGTGCAGTTCCTCCTTACCCGCTGTCGCCGTCGCCCCGACCGGTATCATGACTGCTGGCTCTCTGGATCCAGCAATGCTCGACACGTCCAGCCCACGGGAATGCGGCCACTAGCCATAGAGGGCGGTTTGGTGGAGCATTACCGGCCCACATGCATTGTCTGCCTCCACCTTGCGGTCGATGCCGAGGAATGTTTTTTGTGCCTTATCAATCCAGGCCACACACAGACTGGCAATGGATGGATGGCTGGTGGCGCTGCAGAAGCAATGGCTGTAGGAACACGCTACTATTCACTCCCCGACTCGTTGCCGCGGCCGTCGGCACTTGGTCTTGGCCCTGCCCACACTGGCACGCAACTATCCCCATATTTGGACCATTTGTAACGCTACCCTTCTCTTCCGCGCCCAAGACCCGCCGCACGAACTGCCCCGTCCTTCGCGTGTGAAACTTAGATTCTGTCAGCACCCAATCCCATCCGCAGATAATTGCCCGATGGCTTACCATTTGACTTTGAGCCAAACTCGCCTGTGGCACGTTGACCAGCTTGTCGGTACAGCGCTTCCCAGGATTAACCTATTCGCTTAGCCATAGGCTGAGTGATGCAAACACTCGAGTGTTTATGGTGACATTCCACCTGGTCGACCATGCTATCCTTGCATACAGGGGTTCCGGGAGACTAACACCCATCGGTCTACACATGAGCGCAAGTACGTACCCGCGATACATGTCACCCCGCGGATCTTTGTCTTTCAGACATGCCATTTCCGCTTTGCGGAACGTTTCCTGATCTTTGCTCACAACCTTCTGGTCGCCTTTGATCTTCTCTTTCATTGCGACCGCCAGAAAATATCTGACTAATCTTGTCCACTAGTCTCGGCTCGCAACCGAGGCTAATGATGGAGGCAAATCCCCACGCTGGACTGCCGCGGACGTTTATCCAAGTTGAATACACACGTTGAAAAGTACCTCGTGGCCAACGGCTGCGCCAAGTTCTCCGCTTGTCGAGTGGCTCTTCTAACGGTTCCTGCAACAATGGCTTGCTGGTGCTTGTGCGCCTCCTGCATGGAGCTGCATCGTGGCACGAAGATCACACAAGTGGCCAAGTCTGGGCCCTCTTTGTTCGACCACGCTGGTGACGACATTGCATACAAAATACCTGTGCCGGTTGTGTCCGCGCCCCTATCGTCAGACTTTCGTACCTACCGCTGTTGAACGCGGTTTGATATTAACCATCTCCCATCACATCAGCGTTTCAGACGCAGGACACTGCGCATCCAGCCACTGCCGTCGGTGACGCTGCGAACAGGCGCACCCAGGTACATGCACCTCAAAGGATCAAGGTTTCGTACGAGATCGGCTGACGCGATATCCAATACCACGCTCAACAAATGCACCCTCCCGCACCAACACCCTCACCATCAAGGGTCACCTATATAATGGATAAGGGTAAAAACACTATACCTTACTAATTGGGGTTAGTGGTACCCCGCCAATGTCTACTCTATCTTCTGCACCGCATCTGGTGATGCATGCCGATGGGGAAGGTCAGGAACCTGAGCACTTGATATACTAGCAGCAACCAAGCAAATTCAGTAAAATGCACCGTTCTTGATTCCATCCCATGTATACCTGGACGAAGAGCGCTCGACAAACCGAGTACGCGCTTGAGCCGAGTGCTTGCTCAAGTGTCGAGTGGCAAGGTCGCAATCAGCAGACAGATCCCACAGCAATGGAGAGCCCAGTAGGGTTTCGGATCCTCAATACAACTGATCTAACATTGGTCTAACACCTTCTCTACATCCCATGTCAGCGAGCCATTTCTGCCGTTGAAAAAGCAACAGTTGCCTCACAATCAGGCTTACCGTGTGGGGCCGTCTCGAATACAGTTCCGAGGCATGACTATGTGCGTGTATAATGGGAAGTTCGATTCGATGTTCAAGAATCAAGGGGGAAAATGGATATTTGATTCATCCGTTGCACTCCACCATTAAAAACCCATACTGTTTTTTTTCTTCTTTTGCCATTAATTCTTCTTTTTGCTTTTCTTATTCAACATACCAAGATACGTATTTGGTATTAGTTCAACTCTTCATGCAACTACATTCACACACTCACCCCACATCCGATCTGCGTACGCACACCTGTAACAAACGAAACAGGGCATGGAAACATCCACATTGAATCCAGCCCCACAATCATCTTATCCACACGTCGTCATTAGCACTCACATCGCATCTAAGCCACTTGCTTCTAGATTCTAAGGAGAAAATCCAGTCTACATACAGCATGATTATGTGTGGCTGACAGCCCACGCAAACTCGTGAGACACCATGGCTTAGTGCATGACTTTACTGTGTCCAAAACTGTTGCGCATCTTTCCCCTTCAACAGACATGCGCAATCTTGATCATCAATCCCAAAGTGCATTTCCTTTTACAATGAACTCGGCCCGTTCCCGGTCCAAGTACATCTGCCCAACAAGAAAACCAGCCAACCCCCAAGTGAATCCTGCATCATATGTCCGTCAATGACACGTTGTTCACAATATCTTTGCCCCTCTGCTCTTCCTCTTTCTTCTTCTCCTCCTTAATTCTTTTCTCTTCCCTCTCGCTATACCGATCCCCAAACAAATCAAAATGCGGCCGCATGACAAGCGTATACTTGACAAACTCTTCCATACAGTCCACCAATCTATCTCGATTACCACTCGGCATGAGCCTGCTTCCTCCCTCCTCGATAGCATCCGCATCCGTGAACTGCTTATAGGCCATGGGAATGGAGCTTTGATTGGGTATCGTGAACATGCGCATCCAGCGGCCAAGTATACGAAGTGAGTTGACTGTATTGAAAGATTGTGAGCCGCCGTTAACTTGGGCAATGGCGAGGGTGCGGCCCTGGGTGGGTCGGACAGAGCCCGTGGACAGTGGGATCCAGTCGATTTGATTTTTGAAGACGGCCGTCTATTGTCGCCAATCAGCCAAACAATCACGTTTAGGCCCACGAAACCAGATGGCTGATAAAAAGGGGGGTAGCTAATGGGCTACTTACAAGATTGCCATGCTGCTCAGGACTGACCCAAACATGTCCATCACTCCACTTGCTCAACTCCCGCAACTCTTGGACTTTTTCATGCGAGTGTTGCACGTCGTCCTTGACCGGGAGCCCAGTGGGATTGAACACGCGCACGTCACAGCCAAGTCGGAATAAGATACGACTGGCTTCATAAGCAAGTAGTCGAGAATATGATCTATCCATCGAATCAGCACTGTCACAGAAGGAAAGCAAATGACTGTAGAGCATTTTTGCTGGAAAAGGTGGATTACCGTTCTCGCATGCTGCCGTATAGTACCAGGACTTTGATCCTATCACCGCCCTTCTTCATCACCTGTTCATCCACCATTTTCAACGCTGTGCTGAGCTCCAGTCTAGCTATCCAATCGTCATCTGTGTGTTTGGCATCTAGCAAAAACGGTCGATATGCTTGGCGAATCGAGGCATCATCTTCGTGCGCGGGTATTGCAAAAGACGAATACCGGTACTGGGGATCTATCGCGATTTCTGCTCTGGTGCGTTCTGCCGCTGTGTTGTTTAGATCGCTGTTCATGGTTGTGGTAATGGCTGAGCACGAGAATTGCTGAGTGCGCCTTGTTCCAAGGCGGACAGCTGCTTTGCTGCAAAAGATCGTACGTGCAAGCGGCCGATAGAGGAACATGAACGAGCTTAGCAACTAGCGGAAGCAGTTTTTTTTTTCGAAATAGTAGTTGCGCGAAATGTTGACCGGGGTTGCTATTTTCCAGATGTGTATGACTTTTCGGTAAGGAATTGATATGTATCTGCCAAGACTCGACATGTCACTTATTGCCTGCTATTGGTCAATCCGGATTACGAGCGGTGCGGCTCTAGGCTTCTGAATTTGCAAGCAAACCTGAGGTGTAGTGATCAGCACTCATTACATGAATATCTTGGTGAAAATATCCATTTAAGATCAGTTGTTCTATAATAACCTTTGATACACGTAAGTACGGACGCCATTGCTTCCTTTGGCCGAGCTGCCCGGTAATGATGAATCCTTGGGATGAACATAGTGAGATGATGCACATTGCTATAAACCTCGAGGTCGTTGCAACGCAAATAAAGGGGTGTACATTCTTCCGTTTCGATGATCTTACACTTACTTCATTCATGTTGAAAACTTCTCTTTGCCACACAGTGGCAGGGATAGTGTTGATTACAGGATAAACGATGTGCTATGGCAGTATGGTGCTTATAGTAGTCATTTGGTTAGGAACATGTAAAGAGTTTACTGACAATGAAAAGGATAACTGGAATGGGATCGGCTCGGTATCACGGAAGGCTATGTGAGCAATATCAATCTTATGTGCTTACACCTTTTTTTTTAAGCTGGTCACTTTGGTCCACAAGTTAATGGTAAAGTCGCAGGAGCAACTCTTGGTGTTGTAGTCATAGAACTACTATTCTCAATGTATATCAAATGGATTAGGATTCGTAACGTGTATTCCAAGGTACTATTGACAGGAGGTATGCGTCAAGGACGCATAGACACCCAGTCACATATTAGCTCTGCATTACCTGTTCCACAGTGCACTCGCCCAATCCAGATCACTCTCAATACTTGTTATGAATTAGATCATCCTCCCATTTTCCATAGCACGTACATGACATGTCCATGCTCCATCGTTTATTTATTTAGGAGAACCTAGACTTGCTTTCGTGTTACTACCCGACGGAAGCAACTAATAGACAGGGTCAAGCAGTGTCAAACTAGGCGACAGACACATTGACGGTATACTGTAACTGTCTGATACATCCATTTTATGGTGTTGGGTTCGAAGAGAGTTGTAGGAAGGGGAACATTGCATAAGGCACACGTCGTTGCGGTGGCAACCATCATCGAAATGCTTGTGTTGATCGGATCTGTCTATCTGTGAAACGAATGGTTAGCAGACGGGTGAAGAGGCATGTCTAATTGACGACTGATGCGACAGCAACGTCACAAAAAAGCCCAAATGCTATACTAGGGTAACAGTTCGCCAACGGCATGAATAGAGATAAGAGATTCAAGAACCAGAGGGATCAAGAATGGGAAATTAGAACATGTGTTGTTCAACGAGACCATAGCCGGAGATCATAATATATTTAGCCCAACGATCGCGACCCCTGTGTTCTTGGCCCACACTGGTCCCAGCTCTCGTACGTCATAGAGGAGCTTCATCAATCTGCATATCAAATGGTTTTTGAAGACTGCCAAACAGTGGACAAAGAGGGGAAAGGGGGCGAAGAGATGATCAACATTGTTGGAAAACGATTTGCCATAAACTGAATGGCAGGTAAGGACCACTAGATGATACTGAACACATGTCATCGAGGCTAGTGAAGGGACGGAGTTACATTCTGGGGAGATGGCAGAAGGCAAGTGATGGAGTTTTGATACGCAAATTATGTAGGTGAGCAACTGAGCACACTGTGTAGCGCATCCTCGCTTTTGTTCTACCAAAGGGGTAGTACCTGTCAATATTTCATCTAACGACTGCATGCAATTGCAGAGAATGCGATGTGCGGCTTACGCTCTCCTACTAGAAGTGTATCATGTGCAAGTGCGACAAGCAAACTCGCAACGAAACACTGGTCGGACAAAGATGTGAATGGATATTGCTGCCGACAGAGTCGGACAGGTATGATTAGGTCGCTCAACTCTTATGATTTTGCATCAGCCTGTCTACAATGCTAATGCCCATCTGTTCCTCAGCAGAAAGCTGGGGTATGGGCCTCTGTTCAGATGCAAAGCCATTTCTTTGCATGATGTTCTCCATCATACGTATACCCCGCAGTTCCTGTAGTGGCGGGATGTTCTGGAGGCTGTCTGGATCTATAGTGTCGAAGTTGAGGCTGCCTGTAGGCTTGACGGCTCCAGTAACTGTGAAGATGGCATGCGGGGTGATGACAAAGTCACACTGGACTTCTCCTGGCCTGGTGGGTTTGATTGTCTCCATGCTGATTCGAGCTTCGTCTACAACTTGGGAGGCATGGGCAATGGCAACTACAGGGGCCTGGTGGCGTAGTACGCCCAGGTCTTGCAGCATCGCCCACTGCACTTCGAACAGATTCTGCCCACCCCAGACACTGACGCCCTGAACGTTGAAGATGAGACCGCCTATGACGCACATGTCGATCATAAGACCCTCATCGCGCATCTGGGCGAGCGTGACGGGCCGGCCGGCACCAGCCTTCTCCATGCCATCGAGGCAAGCGGCTAGTTCGTATCTGCTCGCATCGATACGCCCCGGGTCCAAAACGAGGAAACCCCTGCGCAAGCGATGTGTAGCCACAATGAGCCTCTTCCCATCCTTGAGGGCGCGGGCGCGCAAGCACTCAAGGCTATTGTCGGGCATGGCAAGGATGACCTGGGCAGAGTGGTAGCAGGGCAGGGCAGCCAAGCGCTCGACGGCGGCAGCAGACCCTCTGAAGTCGGGCGTGAAGGCCATGAAGTCATAGTTGAAGCGCGCATCAGGCACGGCATCCTGGATTAGCTCCTGGTAGACGCGCGACCAAATCAGCCTGGTGCGCTCGTCGGAGGATGCGCTGGCTGTCATTGGAGAAGCCATGGTTAAGCGGAGGGCGGGCGGCTGGGCAGCGCGCAAAGTCTATTTGCTCGTTTCTGTATGTACGTAAGTATGTCAGTACGACCCGGGCTTCCTATTCTTTATTTCTAGTATCTTGCTGGGGGGAAATTGAACAGGCCAGATGGGCGAGGGACTGGGTTAAGACGGCGACGGCGACGACGACGACGACGGCACCGGATGACTAACCCTTCCGTACTACCCCATCTGCCCACTACCTCCAACTTGACACAGCCAAGTGGCATTGATTTGGCGATGCTCGGTGCAAGTCTAGGAGCATCGGACGCTGCCGTGGCTCGCTATACATTCCTCAGGCAGACTTTTTCGCCTCTTTGCCGGGCTCTTCCGGACAACCGCTTGCCGGGAATAGTAACCCGCCTATACCGGCTACATGGTATGTTGCCGAACACTCACATATCTATATCTGCAACCGGCAAGCCAACCCATGCTCGGTGCATTGGCATCATCGATCCACCATGAATGAGATCCCCAGCCAGATCCCCGCGGCCCTTTTGACAACTGACCACGTCGTGCGGATCGACGGGGCGACGACGAACACTACCAACTCCACCCACACGACCACTCTTCATCATCCAGTCCTGGATAAAGCGAGTCCCGAACAGCTCTCGCACGAGGCCGACGAGTCCCAGGCCGCCAAGAACAAGCTCTCAACCGCCGCGAAGACGCTCCAAGTGCTGAAATGGTTCGTCAAAGACCAGTGGTTCCTCCTCGCCATGGGCGCCGTCGTCCTGGTGTCGTCCCAAGTCCAAGTGCCCGCTTCACAGCAGCGGATCAAGCGCACAGTAATCACCTACCTGGCCGTCTCCGTCATCTTCTTCATCAATGGCTGTACCCTTGACACCCGCGTCATGCTCGCCAACTACATGCGTTGGAAGCTGCACATCTTCGTCCAACTCCAGTGCTACCTCGTCTGCTCCGCTGCCACCTTTGCCATTGTCAGTTTGTGCGCCACCAATCCCCGCTTCATGGACCCATGGCTCCTCATCGGCTTCTTGTTCGTGGGCAGCGCGCCGACGACCATGTCTAGCAACGTCGTCATGACGCGCCAAGCCCATGGCAACGCCGCCCTGACCGTCGTCCAATCTGTAATCGGCCAGTTTCTCTGCCCCTTTCTGACTCCAATCATACTCCAAATGTACCTCTCTACCGGTTCGTGGTACAGCAAGGTCTTGCAGCGTGGATCCGGTTATGCGGGCATCTACCAGCGTGTCTTCATGCAACTTGGTCTCTCGCTTTTTCTGCCCATGCTTCTCGGCCAGATTGTGCAGCGCTTGTTTCCCAAGACAACTAAAAAAGTCTTCTTTGATTGGAAATTGCTCAAGTTGTCTTCGATTGCCCTGCTGACCATGGTATGGCAGACGTTCGACCAAGCCTTTTCATCGGGTGCCTTTGAAGCTGTAAAACCCTCCAATATCGTCTTCATCGTCTTCATCACCATTGCACTGTACATGATTTGGTCGGCGATTTGCTTCACAGCTGCTTCGCTCTGGCTACCGAAAAAAGACGTCATCGCTTGCTGCTATTGCTGTCCCGCAAAAGCGCTGGCAATGGTCGTCCCGCTTACATCAGTCATGTACATCAACATCGATCCTGTCAATCAGTCCAAGATGCAGATTCCTGCAATCATCTTTCAGGCGTTCCAGGTTGCCATAGGAGGTATCATGACCATTGGCTTTCGCAAGTGGATAAAGCCAGAAGAAGAGAGGGAAGAAGCGGAGAAGCTGGTCGAGGCAGGCGGAAGAAATTAAGCCAATGCCTGTGGCTCTACCCTTTTGTCTTGCGTCCATGGATACCATCACTTGCATCGATTTCACAAGTTCTCTCCTTCTCTAGCATGTTCAGTAGCTTTGAGATAGGTCTCCTCAATTCGTTACCCATCTCCTACTCTGTCGCCTTACAGTTGTTCACGCTCTGATACAAGCTCCATACCGCCTTACTTATCTTC